TCAATCAATAACTTGATATGACCATACGTTTAAATGGAACAAAACCACCTACGTTCATAATTAGAAAATACATACTTTGTATTTGCATTTAGCTATATACATATAAGTGCACAAAAGCTCTGGAGACTACGGTTTCAATGAAACTTGTCCGATTGGCTTCACGCTTTGCTGCGCCAGATGTGATTGGCTTAATGGATTTCCGAATTGATTGGCATGAAACGGGCTCAATATCACAGAACAGTCTTTTATAACTAGCGTCATTTAATGAGATAAGAAAAACTGTTTTTTTATTTAGTAACTAGCAGCTCACCCTGGCTTCGCTCGGGTTCGCCTCTAGACAAACGAAAACAAATCTATCCCACGGGAACCGTACATTTTTCCGAAATAAAAAATATTCTATTTGTTATTCTGATGTATGAACAATATTATTGTAAAGTTCCTTTTTAACGAATTGGATTTTAATCCAATCAGTAGTTTTTGTGTACTAAGCTGTATAAGTTACTACAGTTTTTTTAACTATCCCACGGGAACTCTTTAATTTTCTGGGATGAACAGTATCTAAAATGTTGACCGGGGAAGGTACCACCTTGCAAAAATTCATTTAAATCGGTCCAACAGTTTCGGAGATTAGCCCGTACAAACAGACAAACGGGGAGGGAAACAAAAAAAAAATTGATAAAAATCTGGATTTGTCCTATTTCTCTTCTTACACCCCCCTGACTTGGTTTTTAGCATTTTATTCTATGTACAGACATTCGACATCTACAGTTTTATTATATGTATAGATTGACCCCAGTTTTTGTTCACTTCAGATACCAGGATGAAAAATAAACTACTGAATTCACACAATTTATATACTATTTATTATTTATATATATATAATCTTGTTTTTTAGAAAATATATATTTAAAAGGCGCCTTTATAGATAAGCCTAAAAAGCAAACCTTTTTTATGTATACATATACCTACAAGTATTGCTCATTAAATATTAAAAGATATAATTATATAGAACACTCTATATAAAATTAGTTTTACGAAATGATGTATAAAGGGGATACGTTGACTCGTTTTTTTTGAGAGATTCCATCCACACTGGTTCCGCTTGCGTACTTTTTTTATGTTCGCTCCTGAGGATCGTAGCGTAACGTTAGACAGCCTAGAATGAACTTTTGAAATCTAACTGTTAGTTCCAGAGATTAGCGCTTTCAAACAAACAACAGAATTTCTCTCTCTACAGTTTTATTATATTAGTATAAAAAATGAACGAGGGGGGTTTTTTAAAGAAATAAATAAAATCTTGCTACTGCGCTTTATTATTTTTTTTCAACCGACTTCAAAAAGGAGGAGGTTCTCAATTCGACTATATGTTTTTTTTTTTATGTTTGTTACCTCAGAACTCCGTCATTTATTAACCGATTTGGACAATTTTTGTTTTGTTTGAAAGGGTATACTTCCAGATTGGTCCCATTTATACACACACAAAAAAATACCACCCCTAAGGGTGGAAAAACAACTAATGATGAATTTTGGCTAAGTAATTAAAGCCTACCTATTAAATACATACCTAATCAAATATTTTCGAAATCGGTGCCAGCCCATACAAAGCAAAGCACACCGACTTCGAAAATATTTGATTAGGTATGTATAGTAAATGAAAACTACTAATCAGTTATTTTTTACTTTTTAGTGCTTTTGTTTGAAGTCGGTTTTTATTTTTTTGTTAATTATTTTTTCATTTCTGATTTCATAATACTCAATTTAGAGTTGAAATTTAAATGAAGATAAAATAAAACAAGACATTCAGTAACTTACTCATATAATATATTTTTATATTTGAAAATTCTTGATACAATTTACAATTTTCGACTTAATTTAGAGATTGAAATAAAAAAAAAACAAAATTATATTTGTTATCAAAGGTTTTTATGTTGTATTGAAATATGATTTCTAGAATATAAACACATATGTATAATACAATATTATGCAAAAGTTAGAGTAGTTTTAATACATACATGCCCGATTTCACCAACATCAATTAAGCTACCACCTACGTATGGGATCCCTAGCTTAAAAGGTCCCCTAAACTAGCCCCTAAATTGAATTTCGTTTTACCATCGTCAGAGCCCGTATTTCTAGTACCTATATTTAGGTGGCATTTTAACATTTAGGTGACCCCTAACTGTTGGTGAAACAGAAATTGTCCCCTAACAGCCCCCTAACCATGCTTAGGGGATCTCTTAAACTTAGGTGACGTTGGTGAAAACGGCCAACATACTCGTAAGAAACTATAAGAAAACACAAAATTTAATATTACGGACTTAAATACAATATTAAACGCAGGTCAGCTATATTTTAATTAATACTTTTATGATTATACCTTTACCAGTTACCATGCTTGCGTACTTTGCAATTTTTTAAAACCATGGTTGCCATCGATCAACCATTTTCATACCAAGATTTTCTCAACAATTATTATAACCTGTAATATTAACAGAAACAGTTATTCAATGCGATCGTGTAATAAATGTGGGCTTTAAAAGAGATAACACATTGAAATCTTTGCTTCATTTATCGCTTTCTATCGATAAGATAGTGTCATTTTCATCGATAAGATTAAAGTTTGGATGCGCCATGTTTTTTTTTATCTCAACTAGCTCTAGGGAAATGTCCATATTATACGAGCATTTATTTCAACCTACAACATATACTATGCCGTAGATGGATATCCATATTAAAGTGTGTTAATTTATAATTGCATATATTTAATTGGAATAAGATTTTAAACAACCAAACGATATATTTTTAATCTATGAAAATGAATTAAATTTTTTAAATAACTATAAAAAATAAAAAATAATAATAATAACTGATACACAAAATTCATATTTCAATACATTTAGAATTAAAATGTTGGATATTTTAGCGTCAAGGCGTATATTCAGCGAAGTTATAATAAATGGCAGTTTATACGATATGAAAGATTCTTATTATTAGAAAGATGTTTTTGCCATACATCTTATTGCAAAACACTGATTAAATGTAGAGTTCAAAAGCGCATATTTATTCATGCGATTTCATAGAAATAAAGGTAAATTATATATAAATATTTCATTCTAAAATTGACAACAAACTTGTCCATACATAATACTGTCTGTCACTCTTTGTAAATGATTTTTTATTAAAGAATAAAATATTTTTTTCTAACTATATGGTCTATTCCGTTCTTCGAACGTTAACAAACACGCAATATTATGATACAATTTACATATATTGTTTAAGCGATACCATATTGCTTTGAATTAGAAGTTTTCTATTTAATATACATACATATATTTAATCTATCAACTATCTAAAGCGGAGTCGATTCATCCATGATTCACAATTAGAATTAAAGTGACTTATCTAAGATTTTTTTTTTAGATTTGACATTTTAAATATTTAATTTAAATTAATTTCACGATTCATTCATTTATTAAAAAAAAATTATAATTTAAAAATTTTAAAATTTTGACTTATGTCACTATAATTCTAAAGGAATATTTTTATTAAAAAAATCGACCTCAATGAACGGTGACTTTCTAAACAGATACGTTCTCATACATCGGTTATTTGGCAATTTTACTATATTCTCTATACACGGATTGCGTAACTACATATTTTGTGCACATCTTATTACTTAAAGCGTAGCAATTATGTTTTTATTTACATACTAGCTTTTGCCCGCGGTTATATTTGATAAATTTTCATTGATTTGTAAGAATTGGTTAGTTTATGAGATATTGACGGACAGACACACCATAAAATAGTAGGATTCTATGATTAATATAGTACAAAACATTTGTTACTAAATATTTTGTTATCTTAACAATTAATAAATTTAATCTATACTCGTACATTGAAATAATTTACATACTTATATACCCGATCTCGTACGGTTCAGTTTGTTCATTCAAATTAAGATATAATGCTGAGTGAGTTATTTGCTATTACACTTTTTTTTTAATTTTATATAAAGCCATTATGATTTTTTATTTGTATAAAATATGTTAATTTCTTCAACTAACTTCAGCAACAAGTTAAGAGTAGGATATTAACTAAGCCTCTACAAAATTTAATTAGTTTTATATAAACAAAAATAAAATATACTTACTTTTAATTAAATATAAAAAAATATAAGTTTAATATAATAAAAACTAATTAATTTACCAAATCAAATTACACTGTTATCTTCAAAATTTACTTAGATTTTTTATATTTTTTACAACAACAGTTCCATAAACATAGTTAAAATCTACATCAATAGAGGCATAGTTAAAATCTACAAAATTTAATATTTGAAGTATTCATATAAAATTATATATTTCAGAGTAATATTGAATGAAGAAACTTCTCAAGTCAATTCTTATAAACGATTTATAAATCGATTACATTCCTATGTGACTTTATCTTATAGTGCTATCACGACTAGAAACTATTTCGTGCTCAACAATTATCCATCCTTTGACATTTTCAATATTCGATTTTCTCCAAACTATAATATCGATATTTAATCAGAATTATAAAAAAAATGATTAACAGAATTATTTTTGGGATATTTAAATAAAAAAATATATTTTAATTTAGAAATAATTGACAAATATATATACTAAGGTGACCACAATATACACAAAGAAAAGAAATCTAAGCATATTCCTTACTTTTTATATGTGACAATTAGAACACATCAAAATTTATAATTATTGACTATATTCGATCTAAATAAATTTTATTTTAGTGAATAAAATAACTAAAATAGATATAATTATATTGAAAAAGAACTACAATCGGTATAGAAACACGATTTAGTCTGAGATAAAAACTACAACCAAACTAAAGTTTATTTAAATCCATTTGCACAAAAACGTCACCATACCACTGTCACAATTAGCCTCTTTAAATGTTCGTGATTAGTCCAGATATTTCTAGTATTTTCTAGTTTTTTCTAGAAGTTTTTTTATTTAGTCTTCGCAAGTCTTGCAACACTGCTCCTTGTATCGCCGAAGGGCGCACATATTCATTGCTCGAACATTCTCGCAATACCTCGATGTGTCTTTACAGACACCGTCTGTTTAAAAAATTAGAATTATTATTAAAATTAGAATTATTATTAAATTTTAATGCTTACTTGACTGCTTCTGAAATAGTTTAAGTGAAACTTAAATAATGAAAAATTGGTATTTTTATTAAAATATTATGTAAAAAACATAAAAAAGTAAATTGAAACTTAAATAGAACTATCTTTTCTAATTTATCCGCGGATTTATTTAGATTTTTGGTTTCCGACGCGACGTTTCGAATACTTTACAGCAATAATGGTCACGAAAAAGGCGGGAACGAAAATATAGTTTTATTTAAAATGTCAAATATTCGCGTAAATCTAAGAAAGTATTAAATTGAAACTCTATACATTACATCGTAAATAGACCAAATAAAACCAAAAGCATCATGGTAGGCAACATTAAATTGCACTGGATGGAACTGGATATGCTCATGTCAGGCTTCTGAGATGGCAACTTAATGGATACTAATTTTGATTAGTTGAAACCCTTTATACTACGTGGCTTGTTTAAACTAAATAAAAACATTAACCACTCTTACCTGTAATACAATTCCCCTTACACTCCCGCACTACCGGCGGACGCGCGCGTACACACGCAGCAGAAGCACGCTCTCTACCACGCGCTCTCTTAGAGCCAGTAGTGCGAGCACGCCATATGCAGCGTAGGACGCGGTGTTGCAAACCAGAGCCGCACGGGCCTTTGCACTGTTTGGAGTGAAATTTTTGACATTAATTTATAAGAAAAGAAAACACATTGCTATAAAAAATAAACTTAATTATTTACAAATCAAGTGTACACTTAATTGTTTTGTTTATTTTGAAGCTATTCAGCTCTTTCCAACATCTTCTCCTTAAAAAGAGGGGGTCTATGCCATAGGTAAGCATTTTAAAATTTATAAAAAACTATTGTTTTTCATTTTAGTTTATTTTTTTATCTATATGTCATAATAACAAAAGGGCATAACTCAAATTCATGTCCAAATTATAATTTTTACATAATTTTTCAATGACATAGCTTAAAAAATATCTATCTCACCTTACTCCAAGGCCCGACAACCCACATAGGTTTGCAGCGCTCCGAGTCCTTCTTAGTTTTGTCTGGCGCAGTACTATACACACACGACGCGTCAGGTAGCACCGTGCCATTGCTAGCTACGCACTCAACACGCCGACGGACGACAGCTGTTATTGAATGAGATAATATCTCGCGGTAAAAAATAGCTTATGTCACTCTCTAGCTCTCTAACTATCTCTACACAAAAAATCACAAGTTACTCTATTTCGACGTGAAAGAAGGACAAAGAAACAAACAAACACACTTTCAAATATAAAATATTAAGTATGGATATACGCTTTACAAATGATAAATAAACTAAAATTTCTGTGTCTATTTTCAATGTACATAGATATGTGAATAAGCAATCTGCGAGTTATTAGGCTACCTCTTATATGCACTAAAAATTGTATTAAGACCTAGTAAGTGACATTAAAAATTTTAACTCTTTGTATTTTAGAGAATAGATATATAGGTTTTAAGAGGCATCAAGCAAAGAGAACGAAGGACTCACCGGACCCGCTCGGTAAACATCTAGGTGCAGACCAGACCCCACTCCTCCAAGACGCGCATACTTCGCTAGCGCAATCACGTATAACGTCTGGAGGTATCAGACCCCTCGACAAACACTCGTTCGTTTCTACTGTTGTTGTTTGATTTGTCAGTTTGTGCTGAGGGAAAATGAGAAATTAAAGGATTTTTTACATATTTGTTTATTTTAAAAGAAATTCAAGCTTTATAAATGTGAATGTTTATATGTGTATGTTTGCTGGTTCGCTGAAACGGCTGGGCCGATTTGGATGATATTTAGAATATAGATAGACTGTTTGTTGGGACAATAACACACAGCACCATCTAATTCCAAGGTAAGGAAGAAATCGTAAAGAAACTTGTATGTCTGAGAGAGTCTAGTAAGTTTTTGAAAGATCTTTCAAGTCCGTTAATGGGAACTTGACCAGCGTGGTGGACTATGGCCTGAACCCCTCGTATTGAAGGGAGGCCCGTGCCCAGCAGAAAGGGCTGAGACGGTTTCAATCGGCAACTTTTTAATTATTCGTACCACTCGACTACTTTTCTTCAGTGAACGTGATTTGAAAAGAGAAGATTAATAAAAAGTTTATCTGTAAGATATATAAAAGAAAAACTTTTTTGTTCGATAAAATCCATAAAACCAAACATCTTGTATCAACACTCTTTCTTCTGGGAATAATTAAGTTTATATTTTGTGACTATTATAGCAAATTATAAATTAAATTTTAAAAAGTTCTAGTCGTTTTATTAAGTGGATACGTTCTATATCAGGACAATAATAATTTTGGTAAGTTTCTATTATTTTAATTTTATTTCATTTTTATTCCTCAACTCGCGACTCACCCTTGCTTCGCTCGGGTTCGTCCCTGGGTTGATTCCCCATACAAACTTTCACCCCCATTTTGAACCCCGTAAGGGGTGATTTTCTTAATAAAAAATATTATATAACCTTTCCATGGTCTGAAGCTATCTTTTTAGCAAATTTCATCCAAATCGGTCCAGTAGTTTTTGAGTTTATTCGTTACAAACATACAAAAATACAAATCTTTCCTCTTTATAATATTATGTAGATATAGAAGGGTAAATTATTATAGAATGACATTATGTCTAAGGCCCAAGTTTATATGAATCTACTAGCGTTGCCCGCGGCTCCGCCCGCGTTCAGATGACCAAAAACCAAATTATTGCATGTTACATATTAGTATACTCTTACATTGCGGTTTTTTTCTCAGAAATGAGATATTTTCCCGCGGTAAAAAGTATCCTATATGTTTACCCGGATAACCAGCTATCACCATACCAAATTTTATCAAAATCCCTCTAGTGGTTTTTCTGTGATATGGTAACAGATAGGCAGACAGACAGACAGACAAAAATTCTAAAAACTATAGATTCGGCCTCTGTATCGATAATAATGTCTATTTCAATAAGATTTTCCAAAAAATATTTAATATACAGATTCGACTTAGTTAGAATTTTATTATATATATATATATATATATATATATATATATATAAAGATATGTCAAACTATTCATAATAAGTACCTTAGTAAGTATTTTTGCTAATTTTAATTTTTATCAATCTAATTAAAAAAAAAAACGAGTAAATCCACAAAACAAAACCAGTTCACTTGACTATACTCGTATCTCAAAGCCCAATAGCAAAGTAATAATTAAATCCAGCGTAAAATTAAATTTTCATATTCATGTAATATTGGAAAAGTTTCTCTTCTCAGTTAAATAGTTTCACAGAGTTTCTTGAGTTGGAAGTTTCCATTCATGAAATTGAAATCTGGATCAGCTTTGAATTACGAAGCGGGCAGACCATTTATAAGAACATTTTTTTTAACAACTAAACTATAAAGTTTTTATATATAGCCTTATCCTGGCCTTTTTTGATATTTACACAAACAAATTACTTTTTTAACTCATACGTCTCTATTTATTAAAAAATAATATTAATAGTTCAAAAGTTTTGCTTTATAGCTTTTTTAAAAGCTTCATTCTCTAAGCTTTTCACAGTAATGTCTACAAGCTTAATAACTATAATCGATATCTACTATTTGACATAACACATTTCCCACACAAGTTTTAGTTTTTTTTATTAGCGTTAATTCGTGTGTTAGCGATTTTAAAATGTCATCTTATTGAATAACCTTTATTTATATTTAAATATTCGAAAGAATATACTAAAATATATTCAATTAATTGTTAAAATTAACTTAGATAAAATTCAAAATAACAGCTTTTTACTAAATACATATGAAAGCACTAAAAAGTAGTATATACGGTACTAACGAGAAAAAAACTATTTGTAAATTTTTTGTCTGTCTGAATGTTTGTTTGTTCCGACTAATCTCTGAAACGGCTGGATTGATTTTAACGGGATTTTCACTGACAAATAGCTGATGTTATAGGGAGTAACATAGGCTACTTTTATTTAGAAAAAAGATCAAGGTTTCGCGCAAAAAATTAAAACCAATGAAATTGTGAACCAAATCCGCGTACCTAGGAAAGCATCCGAGCAAAGTCAGGATGAGTCGCTAGTATCCAATTTAAAAAGAAAAAACATGATTGCATATGTAAAAATGCAAATGCCTACTACCTGGTCTCTAATAACATGTATGTTATCTATCAAATATTCAGCCCCTTAAGATAACGCTCTACGAGAAGATAGCTATAGTAGATAGCTAAAAATACATGAAAATGGCAATATTCTGTCCAAGTTATGACACGAGGTTAAACTTCATTCTACAATCGATGTAGAATAGAAATCTCAAAAATATATAAGAACTAGCGACTCACCCTCGCTCCGCTAGGGTTCGTCCCTACTTACGTTTTAACGTTTAGTATAGATTTCTCAGAGATGAGATATTTTCCCGCAGTAAAATGTATCCTATATGTAGACCCGGATAACCATCATCATACTAAATTTCATCAAAATCCCTCCACTGGTTTTCCGTGATGCGGTAACAGACAAACAGAGAGACAGAAAGACGGAGAAAAATTCTAAAAACTATAGATTTGGCCTATGTAGCTATATATGATAATAATGTCTATTTCAATAAGATTTTCCAAAAAAATTATAATGTACAGATTCGACTTAGAATTTTATTATATGTATAGATGAAATATGGTGATTCCTTGAAATAACGATAACATTAGTACTTACAATACAATTTTAAAAATCTGTTTTCTATAATTATTTCATGACGACATCTTGCCTAAGCCTCAACGTTTTTTTTTAATAAAATTAATCGCCTATTAAAAAATGAATTTCAAATTAACTCTGTTTTAATTTACACAGCTTAGTAATTCTACGTGTCTTCCATACGTATGGGTGGATTTTAAATTTATATAGGATCACCATAAGAAATTGGCTTATATGTCCAAACGATTAATTTATATCAAAAGAGTTTGTTTTTAAAGCATAGAACAAAAACTCTACTGTAAAGTAAAATTTTTGTTTGTTTGAATAAGCACTAAGTCGACCAATTGTTCGTAGCGATAACGAAACAAATATCTCTGTTTTAAAATCGGTTAAAGATATTCATTAAAGAACAAAAAGAAATAAGAACAACACGGCCTCTTTCTTTTCAAATCAAATTACTTTAATTAAGCTTAAAGAACCCAATTTACTTTTATTATTATAACTGAGAAGTTGAGATAAGGAACGGATTTCTGACTCTAAATGTAACGAATTAACATTTCAAAATTGCGATTTATATAGACTTACAAATAGTGTTGATAAAATAAGGTAGTAATAATTTAAAGTTGAAAATTTACGCCGACGATTTTAAAACCGAATATATTTTTTTATAATATATGATATAAATAATATATAACATACTAGCATTGCCCGCGGCTCCGCCCGCGTTTAGATGACCAAAACCAAATTCTTAGGTTTTACATATGCTCTTACATTGTAGTTTTTGTATTTTTTCTCAGAAATGAGACATTTATCCGCGGTAAAAAGTATCCTATATGTTGACCCGGATAACCAGCTATCGCCATATCAAATTTTATCAAAATCCCTCCTGTGGTTTTTCTGTGATGCGGTAACAGACAGACAGACAAAAAATCTAAAAACTATAGGTTCGGCCTCTGTATCGATAATTATGTCTATTTCAGTAAGATTTTCCAAAAAATATTTAATGTACAGATTCGGCTTAGTTACAATTTTATTATATGTATAGATAACACTAAAATTCGTCATTGGCTTCGTAACAAAATAAAAGAAAGTCATTTGACATACAGAGGAGAAAAAGTTACTGAAGTGATTTGTTTTTGCCTATTTATATTTACATAGTATTACTTACTACGTATTACATACGTTTCATATTAAAAAAAATATTATTTTATGTTAATTTATTTTTATTTTTTGTAAAATACAAGATTTTTTTTTATTTTTAAATTATTAAATAATAAAAGAAACAAAAAGCCAACCTTAAAACACGAAAATATTTTCGAGACATGTTATTCGTGTGACTTCTAATTTAGCTGACTGCTTTAACATGTTTAAATTATATTTTTAATGTTAATATACGTAAAATGGCACGAATCTCGGCGACATAGACTGAAAATAACTTATATTTTCAAAAACTGGTTTTCATTTAGTTAAATAATAGCTAGCATAAAGAATTTAAACGAAAATATTGCATAAAATAAGATATTCAATGTATTTTTATAATATTTATTAATTATTATTTTATTACTATTTAGTATCAAACATATAACACTAGTGACTTAGCGCTGCTTCGCTCGGATATGTCCTTACGTGTCTTTTATGACTTGATTATAGAACATCGTTTTTTTAATACACATACATAGGTATATTTAATGTATTCAGCCTTTTTTAACGTCCCACTGCTGGGCGTGGGCCTGCCTTCAATACGAAGAGGATCAGGCCATAGTCCACCACGCTGGCCATGAGCGGGTTGGCGGACTTCACAAGTCTTTTTAAAACTTGCTAGGTCCTCTCAGACATGCAGGTTTCCTCACGATGTTTTTTTTGCCTTCACCGTAAGGCAAGAAAGAGGTATATTTAATATTATTACATTATTGCATTTATCTTTTGGCAAAAGATCAGCGCTACCTTTTGGCCAAATTTGTTACTAACAGTAGTATATGTGTTATTCCTGGGCAAAATCTACATGTGTACTAAACACCCAAATCAATCTTGTCGTTTTAACATTATACACAGGTCACAGACATTTTCACATATCCTAATAATAATAAATGTATCAACATCCATATAAAAGATCTACATTTCTTATACAAAAGTATTAATAGCGTTTATGACAACCCGTTTCTTGTGTCTTTGTTTAATTTTAGAATCCCTAGATGCCCACGTAAGCCCGTGAACTTATTTGAAAAGCCTTCTCGTAGAACTATTTTGGGGAACAATTCACCCGTGTCGCGATTATGTAAAATTATAAACGATTATAAATGCTTGGACCTATTCAGAGACTCGCTGCCAAAGTTTCGCAAAGATGTAAAAAAATATATTCTAAATAAATAATTAATATTCTTGATTTGTTAATTATATGTCGATTTATGTGGTAGATTTGTTTATTGGTTTAATTTACTTGTTTTATTTAATTTCTTAAGGTCATAGAATTGTTGTTTTTTTTATAAAACTATTCACGCCTATTTTTGCATGCGGTATTCACCTTAAAAGGTAATGCATTTAGCAATAAGAACTTTGTAAAATAGCATAATTTTTTACTGTAATAATGTAATTACCACTGGTGAATCTTAATAAATAAAAAAAAAAATAATATTATCTATCACTATTTAATAAAGTTACTTAAATAGCATTTACAAAAAATATTGTAAAAAATATAACATACACTTACTTGGCAAACAGCGCCCCTAATCTGATGGCCGCCTTGGCCACAAGGCGCGTTGCACGATGACCATTCTGTGGTCTTCCACGTGTATTCATTGACATCCGAAGCAGTATACCTGATAGAAAAAATAAATTTTAGTTACTTCATATATATTTTTAATTTGTTATTATAGCTATTTATTTCATGTGAATACTGTGAGGAACGTTACGGGTTCAATTTTCTCGTTTCAAGTTCTAGGTCTTAAGTAAAAGAATATTTTTAACTAGTAAAGGCAAGTATAACATCAACAATAAAATATCATCATCTTTTATTCATGCCAGCAACCAGTGACTTAATATCAAAGTTACCAAATCCTTATAAATATATCAATAAACTAGCGACTCCCCCAAGCTTTGCTTCGGGTTCGTCACTAGACAAAAATAAATCTATCCCACGAGAACCGTACAGTTTTCCGGGATAAAAACCTATATGCTATTCCAGACTATATCTATCTCTGTGCCAAATTTCATCCAGATCCGTTCAGCCGTTCCGGTTTGAAAGAATAACAAGCGTCCATTCGTCCATCCTCACAAACATTCATATTTATAATAATTAGTATGGATTACTTTATTTTAAGCAGTGAGCAATTCACAAAACTTTATTCACATATTTAGTCGCTTTAGGAGATGAATTTTTAAAATCTCTCCTCACTCAATTTTGTTATATTCGTATAAGAAACTCTTTGTAACATTTTATACTTTTAGACCAAGCGGTTTAGATGTCAGGTAATGAATAAAAAGATATAGTTTTATTAGATAGAAAAATAGTAATGTAACTGCTCTGCAATATATATAATAATTAAAACTAGCATTGCCCGCGGCTCCGCCCGCGTTCGGATGACCAAAAAGCAAATTCTTAGGTTTTACATATAAGTATACTCTTACGTTGCAGTTTTTGTGTTTTTTCTCAAAAAAAGTATCCTAAATGTTGACCCGAATAACCAGCTATAATCATACCAAATTTCATCAAAATCCCTCCAGTGATTTTTCTGTGTTGCGGTAACAGAAAGACAGACAAAAATTCTAAAAACTATAGATACGGCCTCTGTATCGATAATTATGTTTATTTCAATAAGATTTTCTTGAAAATATCTAATGTACAGATTCGACTTAGTTACAATTTTATTATATGTATAGATAACCTTTTTTCTTCTACCGTCGTCGCGTCCATTAAGTCACCGATATCTTGCTTCACACTTTCAACTCGACCTTCTTCAATCGTATTCCTATTATAGTCTTCGTTCACTATAATTATATCTGAATCGTCATCTTCGGGGAAAACAATTTGCTTGTTTTGAAGATTCACTATCTGCGCTTGAGATGGCATGCCATAGTTTTGGTACATTATGACAGGGTCCACCATTCTTTGACCCCTCGAGTTGCCGAGAGTCTGGAAATTCCAAAACATCTGAACATATCAATGAAAATTGTTCTAGAAGTAACTCATATTCTAAAATATATTGAATTTGATCATTTAAAAAATATTATTATGAATAGTTGATACAAAATTTCAATGTTTTAATATAACAAAGGAAAAACAATGGACCGAATATTAGATTTATTAATAATGTAATGAATTCTGATGTAAAATTAGTAATTTTAGAAAACCCAGATACTTTGAACTGTAATATAAAAACTATAGATATTTAGAAAAAATCTATTTTATGAATAATTTTATTTGTATAAGTTATTGAGAGGATAATTGAAAATACAGTATTTACAAAGAATGTTTGATATCCATAATTCAAAACGTAAATAGGGAAATATGATGCAAATTTAAAGTTTTTTTTTACTTTTACTAACTATAAAAACAAAATTCATAACTTAGAACATCCATTACAATAACGGAAACTCTGGCTAACATCAAAAACCTTAAGCACAAACAAAATTATTCACGTATTTCATATAACTTTTCTACGATCGTCTCCTCAGCTATAATTTTCCAGACTACGTTTTAAAAAATGTAACCATCAAACACAATCATGCCATGGGAAATTGAACCTAGACCCGATGAAATAAAACCTACAATCCAACCATGGGCATGCATTCTGGAAACCGCTCACCTGGAGTTGCATTACTAGGTAATGCAGACACGGCAATAGCCTGGACGACGCGCTTCGGTTTGGCGGAAGTATTTGAGATGATACGGCAGACTCCTTATAGCATCCGAGCAGCGTGAAAATTTTATTTAAATTGTAATTTCATACATATTTTTCTTTTAAAGGTGAATTGAAGATATAATTGTATTTTAAGTCCATACATATTTTCATTTAAAGGTGAAGGTCGTTGTGATTTAATCTTTTAAGTTTGTTACTCAAAAACACTTATACTGAAAAATTATGTTACTTCTCTACACTTAAAAGTGGTTATTTTTTTAATTATAAGGAAGCACTTTTGAGATATAACTTTGTGATTTATTAAAATAATCATGAAAATCATTGAAATTTGATAAATATTTCCTTTTAGGTATGATCAATTATAATTTTTTTGTTATTTTTTAGGTTTTTGCAATTATTACTGAAATAAAATTATTTTTTACTTAAATAAGTTTAACAACCACACAAAAAATACCCAAGAAAAAACTATAGATATGTTTTTTGTAATTAATTTTGGAGGTATAACTTAATCATCAATATAATTATGAAAATTAGTTGGCAATTGGCAGAGATATTTCATCGCAAGCATTCTGTATTAAGCACTCTCATAATTAATTTTGTTAAGTAACTTTTGTTCGTGATATAATTCTAAGTAGTTTACAACCACTATGTATGACCTCCGTTTCATTTATAACGCGTAGCACACAGAGTTCAAGTGTCCTTGGACACATTCTATTGATGGAAATAAAACTTATTTATGCTATTATACGTTTTAATATTAAAGCTATTAAAATATGAAATAGAGTTTCATATTTTTATTCATTGATTCATTTTAAAGAAAACTTTTATAAGCTTACTAGCAATGCCCGCGGCTCCGCCCGCGTTCATACGATTAAAAACCAAATTCTTAGGTTTTACATATTAGTATTGCAGTTTTTGTATTTTTTCTCAGAAATGAGATATTTTTCCCTCGGTAAAAAGTATCCTATATGTCGACCCGGATAACCAGCTATCACCATACCGAATTTCATCAAAATCCCTCCAGTGGTTTTTCTGTGATGCAGTAACAAACAGACAACAGACAAAAATTCTAAAAACCATAGATTTGGCCTCTGTATCGATAATAATGTTTATTTCAATAAGATTTTCGAAAAAAAATATCTATTGTACAGATTCGGCTTAGTTACAATTTTATTATATATAATGTATAGATAAGTTCTTTAAACAAAGTTAAAACTATATTATTTGAAATGTGATTTGATTAATATTTATTCAACATGATGTTAATGCTTTATTGACTATATTTTTAATTAATAAATCTTAATAGAAATTTCTCATACAAAAGGAAGATCTTCCGATCGGTGGTTCTGTAGAAATTACATTATCATTTCTTATCAGCGTGACTTTGAGTTTCACTTTTAATGGTTGATACGTGTACGTTCTATGCAAATTTAAGCTTTGAAAAAACTTTTTCGTAGTGTTACCAGGTGAAAAGTTTAATTTTTGGGATAAATTTTCATACAAATTATTGTTTTTTTATTATACAACTAGCGGCTCACCTTCGCTTCCCTCGTACATATACATAGGTATGTTTTAAATAGATATAAATAGTTACTATCCAGCGTTAGTCATGTACATTTAAATATTTTTTGTTTGAATATTTCCGATATTTTGATTAATAGTTATACTGCTATTCGGGGTAGAGACAAATCTAACAAATCGAAGATCATCAAAATCGGCCCAGCCGTTCTCGAGTTATAAGTGTTGTAACAAACCCGACTTTGTTTTATATATAACTAGCGGCTCACCCTCGCTTCGCTCGGGTTCGTCGCTAGGTACGTTTTAAATAGATATAAAAAGAAAAAATCTTTCTTTCTCACATTTTAATTATATGTTTTAATACTTACCTATTCCGGACTAAGAGAAATCCAAAAATTAAAATATCATAAAAATTGGAACGCGGTCGAACGGGATAAAAAGTATCCTATGTCCTTCTCCTGGCTCTAAACTACCTCCCTGCCAATTTTCAGCTAAATCGGTTCAGCCGTTCTTGAGTTATAAGCGAAGTAACTAACACGACTTTCTTTTATATATATAGATAATACATTATATGATATTAAATTAAAAAGCAAATGTACACCCACTTGTCAGTTTTGTTTTAAATATTTTACTATTATTAAAAGTTATATGAGCGTCTGTCAAGTTTTTAGAATTATAAAAGAAGATCCAAACTAAAAAGTTTTATTTTTAATTAAAGCTTGCATATACAATACGATTATGCTTCAGTCATTGTGTTCATAAAGTAACTAGTTTCTCTCTAAGCTTTTTAAATTGTCTAAGCTTTTTAAAATAAACGAAAAAGTATTTTTCAAAAAGTAAGGTTTTTTTATTAATTAGTTGATTGCATTTAAATATTTCTTTTGATCACTGGTTTATTAGGCCAGTTCCATAGTCCCAGAATATTATAGTATCCGAATTTTAACGCAATCGGATGCCAGCAAACGTTTGAAAAGGAATTTCCGCTTGAAAGCCTGGATTACAAATTGTGGACCGGAAAGACAGGTAGAAACGGGACAAGTTAAACAAAAAGTTGTGTGAGACCTGTGAGGTTCTAGATTTCCAATACATTTTTAATTTCAACATTATTTTAATCCCTCCACGACCGCGGACACGCCGGCGTGTCAGTTAACAATAGATTTCTTAGAATTTTAATCAATTTCTTAGAAATTACCTGGAGGTGTTAATTATTGAATTGTTGATAACTAGCGATTTACTCTCACTTGGTTTAACGTTCTCTAGGTGCCAAACATTATTCTATCTGTGCATTGAATTGCATCCAAATCCGTTCAGCCGCTTTAGCGTAAGGAGCAACAAACATACACACATACAAACTTTCACTTTGTTCGGTTGAATTTTTTTCTTGTAATTTATAATTTTAAAGATATCGCGTAATATACACAAAACAACATACATTCAAACTGAGTACTTCTTTTTTTTGAAGTCGGTTAATTATAAGAATGTCCATAAAACCTGTGTAATGTGGTAACAATATTCTCTATATATAATGATTTGCTATCTTCTGTAATTCAGCTAAGTTCAACAATAAAGTTTACAGCCGTCTTTATAGCAGTAATAAAATTATTATTGAATGTGTATTATACTAGTGGGCCTCAGAGGTCGTTGGTGTCAAGGACTTTCGAAGGACCCTTAGAGACTTTTACTTCTCTCGTATATAAAATACTCATTTTATGTCTTCTTAATTTGGAAAGATGAAAACGTAACTAGTGGTTTTAGTGGTAATTCTTTAGTAGGTTTCATATACCTAAAGCTCGAGCAATTATGCCAATATCTTATATATAAAATTTCCATGTCACAATGTTTGTTACCGTACTCCTCCGAAACGGCTTTACCGATTTTTACCAAATTTTATATGCGTATTCAGTAGGTCTGAGAATCGGCTACTTTCTATTTTTCATACCCCTAAGTGATAAGAATAAGGGTGGTCCTCCCAGACCCCACCCCAGGGACGAACCCGAGCGGAGCGAGGGTGAGTCGCTAGTAAAATTATAAAGCGTCCTATTGATTAAATTTATAATTTATTTTTGACTGACAGCTAAAGCTCTCTTATGAAATAGGCTATAATAATGCAAAAATATTTGTTTTGTAGAATGTTAGCGAATCAGCGCGTCTAAACACATAAACTTAAAGATTTTTATATTAGTATGGAAGTATAAATAAACGAAACTATCTAAAACTGTCATCCATTTAGAATAAAAAAAGAGATGTATCATTACATCCATACTAATATTATAAATGTGTGTTTGTGTGTTTGTTTGTTTGTTTGTTTGTTTGTTTGTTTGTTTGTCTGTCCTTCTTTCACGTCGAAATGGAGTGACGGATTGGCGTGATTTTTTTGTGGTGATAGTTGGAGGGCTGTATTTTTTGTAGTTTTTTTATATTTTTTTTGTAGTTCTGCTAGTATTGTTATAAAATAAAGTCCCCTCGCCGCGTCTGTCTATCTGTCTGTCTGAACGTGATAAACTCAAAAACTACCGAACTGATTTTCATAAGGTTTTAACCAATAGATGAAGTGATTCATGAGGAAGTTTTAAGTGTATAATAATTCATTAAAGTTTTGTGTAAATTGGCTGAAATTTAACTATTATTATTGAAGATGTCGGAAAAAATCATTTCGAGTGGGAGCTTTATCGGCGTGCGCCGCGTAAACTAATAAAGTTATATGAAAACAATGTATTACAGAATTAATCCTCTTAAAAAGATTATATAGAAATTTTCATATTAAACTGTAGCAAGGCTATTGTGCACGTAAAGTAAGTGTAAGACATTAGTATGAATAATTGTTGAATTACGTTTCATTGTATAAATTTTAGACATGGAATTGGAAGAATACTATAAAGTTAGTTATATCAATATAAACCCCAAAACGGGTTCGGAACAAGTGTACAACTTTGTGTACTAAATTAACTTTTGACCATTAGTATAGTAACTAGTTGTTGGGCGCGATTTTGTGCCCTATAATATGTATAATTTGTGTAACTACCATCATATCCCAAATCTGCAGATCAGGTCTTATTGACTTCCCACTGCTGAGCACGTGCCTTCCTTTTAAAGGGATCAGGCCGTAGTCCAACATACTGTACAATTGTGGGTAGCCAGAATTTTCATGTCTTTCAAAAACTTTATAAAGATCTAAAGTATGTAACATTACATTTTTATAGCAATTCACATCCGTATTTCATACAAAATTCCATTAGCCAATTAAATGTTTAAAAATAATTTCTTATCAGCCCTCTTTATTACACAAACAATAGCCAATTAAAAAGTAAATGTTCAAAAATAATTTCTTAACAGGCCTCTTTGTTACACAAACAATCACCTAACTAGGTTTAGATTTTTGGGTTTTTAGTTTTTTAGATTTTAGTCAGTCAGTGAGTGAGAGGTATTTCGCTCGTATAAATACTGAGAAAAATACAAATATTCAAAAGTACTTAAACTGCTAACGTCAAGTATGTAAAAGACGACTGACAAAGTATATCTCTTATGGTATTTGAAATTCTATGGTTACTTTTAGTATCACATATTATGTGGAACAATAAAATAATAATTTGACTACAGTCATAATATGTTACGAATGTTCGTGCATCATGCAAAGTATTGCAATGGTTTTAATGTCTTATGTGAATACTAGCAATGCCCGCAGCTCCGCCCGCGTTCAGATGACCAAAAACCAAATTCTTAGGTTTTACATATTAGTATACTCTTACATTGCAGTTTTTGTATTTTTTCTCAAAATTGAGATATTTTCCCGCGTTAAAAAGTATCCTATATGATGACCCGAATAACCAGCTACTGTTATACCAAATTTCATCAAAATCCCTCTAGTGATTTTTCTGTGATGCGGTAACAGACAGACAAACAAAAATTCTAAAAACCATAGATTCGGCCTCTGTATCGATAATAATGTCTATTTCAATAAGATTTTCCAAAAAATATTTAATGTACAGATTCGGTTTAGTTACAATTTGATTATTATGTATAGATGTAAAACAGGTTCAATACTGTAAGTTATACAATTCAATGGAGAAGTTAAAGTCCGATGATACTATTGATTAAATTTATGAATGCGAAAGTATATATAGTAATGTGTGTATGTACTCGTTCGTATGTTTGTTAAGTCAAGTTGAAACGGCTGGACCGATTTGGATAAAATTTTGTGCACAGATAGAGTATAATATGGAGTAAAAGTCTCAAGGTAACTAGGGTAAACCAGAGGCGCGATAATAAGTCTCTAAATAAATTTGTCTATTTTCATAAAAATCTTAGAAATTAAAAAAAATGTACTTGTTTCTGTTAAAATATTATATTATTTATTATTTTTTGCTGTAATATGGTTAAAGTGTTACATTTTAATAGTAGGAAGCAAAACTTTATAAGCAAATCGTCTTCTAAACATTATTAATAATAATAATATATAATATGACAATAGGTTGATTCCCCATACAAACTTTCATCCCCATTTTCCCCCCTTGAGGAATGATTTCCGGGAAAAAAGTATCCTATGTTCTTCCCAGGATCTCAAACTATCTTCATAGCAAATTTCATCTAAATCAGTTCAGTAGATCCAGAGATTACCCCCTACAACCTCACAAACTCACAAACTTTACCTCTTTATAATATTAGTATTTATAGATTTATTTGTATCATACATTCTGTTAAAACTTTTTGATATTTAACAAAATATTGCACCAAAAAATAAATGAAAACAGCATTTAAAACTAACATTTTTGTTTATAAATAATATAGGTCATAGCAAAAATATTTTTAAAAGCACTAAACTACTGAAAATTCTAGTACAATAAATAAAAATCCTAGATTATATTATTCTAGCGAGATTCTTTAGTTTTTATAATGCTAGATATTTCCAAGTTTTAGAATTTTATATTCAGCTCTCGTAAAGAAGATTTACTATTTTCATTATTTCGAAGCAGACAACTTAAATATATTTTATAACGATATTTCTGTGGATGATTTTTATTGGTACAATTTATGATTTTGAGACATACATTGGTTTTATTGGTAACCGTCTAATGTTTGTAATGCTCACAATTTATGTCTCTTGGGACTTGCTTATGGTTTATTATTTTTGTTCATATCAAAATTACTAAATACGTTTACTTTATAGGCGAATAATTTAAGTTAGATCAGATAAAATATTTATGTATACATTTAACAAAATTCTGAGTCGAATCTGTATTTTAAATATTTTTTGGAATATCTTATTATCAATAGAGAGATAGAATCTATAGTTTTAAGAATTTTTGTCTGTCTGTGTTCGCATCACGAAAAAACCACTGGGCAGGTTTTGATGAAATTTGGTATTATGATAGCTGATTATCCGGGTTAACATAACGGATACTTTTTACTGCGGGAACGTATCTCATCTTTGAGAATTCTATACTATATGTTAAAAAATAATTAGTTAAAATTATATAAGCATTTTAGTTCACATCAAATTTTAATTTAGATCAACAGCACTACTTGTGATTCCTTCTTTATATGTATGTTAATGGATACCCTCGTTTCTTTCGGGTGCGTCTCTAGGTGATAAATACCTATCATCTACCTATTCTACATATTAACCTAACATATTATTCTATATATATATATATATATATATATATATATATATATATATATATCTAATATCAACTTTTGTTAAGCGATCAGCGCGACCTATAGGCAATTTTTATTATTAACTATAGCCTATATCTTACTCCAACTCATAACCTATTTGTGTACCAAAATTTCATTCAAATCCCTCAAGCCGTTGACCGTGAACATACACACAAACATACATACAAACTTTCGCATTTATAGTGTACAGTAAAAACGTTTCTTTAAAGGCGACGTATTTTTTATTCAGATCAGAGAAATCAAAACTAGATTCTAAACATACGAGTAGCTTCTTTTTCGTACGCGATAGATGAAACGCAGATCTCGTCAGGTATATCTTTTGATTTACTAACCAGTGGAGATAAAACATAGCAATCTTTTAAATTTAGAAAATTCTCATACTATTACAACTAGATATAGAAATACTAAATTAAAAATAAGCCATTTAAATATTATATCGCTTATAATTTTGACTTTTGAATTCGTTAAAATAATTTTTATAAAAAAATATTAAAAAAAATACATATATGTATGTCATGTGTCAGAAATGAGACATTTTCCCGCGATAAAAAGTATTTTATATGTTGACTTGGATAATCAGCTATCACTAAACCAAATTTCATCAAAATCCTTCTAGTAGTTTTCTTATGATGCGGTAACAGACAGACAGACAAAAAATCTAAAAACTATAGATTCGGCCTCTGTATCAACAATAAATGTTTATTTTAATAAGATTTTCAAAAAAATATTTAATGTACAGATTCGGCTTAGTTACAATTTTGTTATATGTATAGATTTTATTTTAATATTTCATATAATATTTATATAAAATATACATATATTTTGTTTATTATTAACAACCTTTTCATCACATTGCAAAACCTGTATTCCAATACTTCATATTGACACAAAGGCAGACTAGGTTAATATATCAACACAGCCCATTTTTACAATACTCAATTTTAAACGTAGAAACAGCGAGATGTACACACGTTAAAATTTTAACAGTGTAAAAACGAATGGTTGTTGTTTTCATACAACCACGTCGAGAATATTAAAATATTAAAATTCATTGAGTATTCTTAAATGCATCAATAAAAATAGTAGGGGAGCCCAAGTGGGGATTTTTGGAGTTACTCAAGCGCGGCAGATTAACATAAGGGGGGATACCTTGCACTCTGTTGAGTACTATATATCTATATCTTGGGTAGCCGATCAAAATATTAAAAAAATATTTTGATATAAGCTTTATAGTCAATTTTTGCTTCTTCGGCTTGTGCAGCATACTTTTCAGGATGTAATTAGCCTACAATACCATAGTCTGGCGGTTTCAAGTATTTCTACCTTATTATGGTGGAGGTACTCAAAAGAGTGTAAGGTATTCCCCCTTATGTTAATCTGCCCCGCTTGAGTAACTCCAAAAATCCCCTCTTGGGCTTCCATACTAAAATAATTAGCTACATGAGGATGTCTTCACTGGAAGATACACTCGTAGTGACAATCGAGTCCACTCAAAAAATTTGCTAAAGTAAATACTTATTGCAGATAAAATATTATTCCCAACGTTAAAAAAAGGAACACGAAAAAAAATTTTTTTAACAATTCTTATTGGTATCCGTAATACATATTTTGCAAAACGCAAGTCGTCTAAACGGTTCTACGTACGTATATTGTATAATGTACATAATATATGAGCTACTTATTCGATATGACGTATATTGCAAATAATAAATAAATAAAACCGTTTAAAAACTGTCATAGCCTTTTTAGCAAAAAGGCTGCCTCGTGTAATTTCTTTATGTATATATTATTAACATTAATATATAATATATAGTATAGTTATAATAGTTATATATTTAACTCACCTCATTCTCGTCGTAAATAGTGTCCCTTGCTTGCGAATTAAAACTTGGTACAGATTTGGCCGTTGTAGGACTTCCATATAGCGCGTCTCGAACTTTATCTATTTTACCTGTAAATAAATAATTTTGTTTACAATGGGTATTAGCTATCACCCGTGGCTTCACTCGCATTATAATCAAAAATAGCCTATCTAATTATCACTTTAGTTTTCTTTACGCCAGTCAAAGTTATCAATCTAGTATTTGCACAGACGTTTTTAACAATATGTATAAACATAAGTGGAGTGGATTTTTTTCTTGAAATTTATAAACAAAACTATCCCACTGGAACTGTATAATGTACATTTTTGAGATAAAAAGCAACCTATGTGCTATTCCAAACTATAATCTATCGCTGTGCCAAATTTCATATAAATCTGATCAGCCGTTCGAACAACAAACCGGTCGAGTAACAAACATCCCAACATCTAAACTTTCACATTTATAATATTAGTAAGATTTCTCTTAAATAATACGTAGTAGGATACAAAAATAATTACAAAATAATAAAGAGTACGAATATTAAAAAATTACAATGTAAGTTTATATTTGGTAAATATATCGTCTCGAAGTACCACTTTTTGGATATCGATTCTATATTATGATTATACACCTAACCAAAAACTCTAAAAAAATATATCGAACACCTTTTCCTGATTCTGTTACAGTTATATGGCTATGTACACTAACGATTTCAATGCGAAGATCGATTCTTGCATATGGTACAAGTTTGTACACACACCTTTGTTTGGTCTACATAAGACTAAAGCTTGTATAAGCTATAAAATCTGCTATGAAATTTATGTATATAGGAAGTATATAAGCAGTATATAAGCTTATTGTGATAAACTTAGGTGTAAAATGATGTACATAATCTATACTAATATACTAATATTATAAAGAGGTGAAGTTTGTGAGTTTGTGACGTTGTAGGAGGTAATCCCTGTATCTACTGAACTGATTTAGATGAAATTTGGTAAGGAGATAGTTTGAAACCCTGGAAAGGATATAGGATACTTTTTATCCCGGAGATCATCCCTTAAGGGAGTGAAATGGGGATGAAAGTTTGCAATTAAAAGCAAGCTAGTATATAACAGTGAGTCGCTGGTATATAATAATATAGAGGTACGTACATAGAAATAAAAATAGGTATTTAGTATATCCTTTGTAAATATACATATATCTATTGTATAATTTAATTAATTATATTTTAGTTAGTAAGAGAATGTTTTTGTTGCATTTTCAAGCTCTGTTATTTCGGATAATATTACGCCTATATGTGCACTAAATTACATCCAAAATCGGTCCATCCGTTTAGACGTGATGGGGTAACATACATATGTATACATACAAATATAGATTTTCAAATATAATTTACCTTTAGGTCTACTCTTGTAGTTTTTCTTCTGATCCGGCGGTCGTTGCTCGTGGGACTGATCGTCCGACCTGCCCCCGATCATAGCGCGGTAGCGGCCATCAGCTCTGCTTATATGTATACAACTTATTGTTATAATTTTGACTCTTTGTTAGTTATATAGGTATATACATATAATAAAATTCTAACTATACTTTTTGTTCGAGTTTTAGTTTGGTTTCTGTGACTCTCTATTGAGGCAATTTAATGATAGCCGTAGCATACGTAGAGCTATTCACATTTATTCATCTTAGATAATTTTAAAAAGAAAAAAATATTTTACTAATTAAATATTTAACTTATACATACAATTTTAAATAGAACAAATCATTTCATCTAAAATATAAAACTAGAAAAACACTGAATTAAATACGTACCTATCAGACAGCGGTGAGGAAGGCTCATCCAAAGCTTTGTGTCGTTCGATCTCTTCGCTAGAGGGGAATTCTCCCGGCCGGGGCTTCACCAACAACGTGAGGTTTGCACTAGAACGTCCTGCGACGCAAGTGTACACGCCGTGGTCGCGAAGAGATAGTGATGTGATGCGAAGAGCTCCCTTTATATATAAAAAAAACATGTGTGTGTACTTATGTGAACATGTGTGTGTACGTATGACGACACGTTTGACTCAGTTTGTAGTGACCCTACTCGCTGTGCCAGCGGCCGCGGGTTCGAGTCCCGCTGGGGGCATTCATTTGTGTGATGAGCACGAATGTTTGTATTCCAGTCGTGGCTGTAACATATTTATAATATGTATGTATTTAAAATCATATACGTAGTGTATCAACTATCTGGTATCTATAACACAGGCCTCGTAGCTTACCATGGAAATACACAGCACCATCTAGGTGCTGTGTATTAATGTCCGAACATATTATATTACATATTATTATTATGTACGTACGTAAGAAGTTATACTTCTTTGGCGTAAAAGAACAAAAATAGCTAAAGATTTCATCCCGTATGTCACAACTCTCTGTTCGTAAGAGGAATGTAAATCAATAAAATAATAAAATAAGACATATTGGGCATATTACAATCATATATTTATAAATTATCATTTAACGAAAGAATATAATATTATTATGCTAAGGAGTGGAACACCCTTCCAGCATCCGTGTTACTTGCCACCTACAATCCAAGTACCTTCAAGGCTAGAGTGAACAGGCATTTTTCTAGGCAAGCGCGCTTCAATTTAGGCCTCATCAGTGCTTCCCAGCGCTGATTGTAATCAAGCGCAAGCCTATCGTTCAATATAAAAAATCATTTGTCACAATAACAACGGCTACCATGGCAACGAACAGTTATCAGCTAACTTCATTATGTCGCTTTTTGGCTGTCGGTGTGCGCGCGCATCCTAAATATTTTACTCATATTATGTTGTCCAGACGTCCCAAAAGAAGTATAACTTCAAAGATGAGTGAAATTCTTTTTTTTTTTTTTAGCAGAACAGAAGATAGCAAGATAGATATTTCATTGTAAGAAATTATTAACTTATAACACTTATGTACTTTTTGCAGATTTAGGTTAGATTTTTTTACTTCAAGTATATACTTTAAATAACATATTTATTATAATAACAGTCATGAATTTTGTTTGTATTTGGTGTAGATATTATGTAACATATTAAGTATACAATATACGCGCGAACGGAGTTTTTCATTTATTCATGAAGTTAGACGAAGCTGTTTTTATATACTTAAGTTATATATTGCCAAAAGTAAAAATATAAAGTAATAATAAATACGTAATAAATGTCCTCTTTCAACATTTTAAATGTAAGTGTTTTCTTGCCGTATTTCACATAGCAACATACATATTTTCATATTTATTTCTGCTGAGTAAATTGATTCCACGCGATATTAACACATACATAATGTAAATAGTAAGATCTTTACGTAGTTTTATTAGTATTTACAATTATTAGCTTAACATTTTTTTTTTAATTTAAGTTGCTGCTTTTTATTATCTGTCAACATTTTCAAGATAATTAAATATATATATATATATATATTTAATTATCTTGAAATATGTATATATATATATATATATATATATATATATATATAATTTTCTAAATATTTTGTAATTCTAAACATAGGTATGTTGCTTTACAGCAAACATGGCCACGGCAGAGACAGAGGTCTATATAGAAATAGTTTTATATAGATAGATATTAAAAAATACCTATTATTTATTTATTTATTTATTTATTTATTTATTTATGTACTAGGAAAAAAATATACAAGTGAGAACAGATACCATGTGTACAAAGGATGACTTATCTCTTTAAAGAGATCTCTACCAGAAACCCTCGAGCGTGAGAAAATATAAAAATAAGGAGGTGCGTTGTAGGTACAAACTACAATCATCAACTATAATATAAATATACATATAACAAACATACATACATACGTACATAGATACTTACATATATACATATATAACTAACGCAGACAGCTGATGTAAATCTATACATAATACCTCATTTCATTTATATCCCGCTTTTTTCTGCAGCTATTTTCAAAAACCAACATAATAAGCGTATTCGCATTTATTAAAATAGTTCCAAAAAGCCTTTCATAAACTTAATTAACCTGAATATGTTGAACAATAGTCTGTATAAGCTTTGTTACGATTGCTATATTTAGTTAGAGGAATTTATTATTGAATTTGGAAGTTAAATTCTAGGTGTGAGTAAATGTTGTGTTGTATTTAACTGTTAAATTATAAGCAACTAGCAGAACCCGCGGCTTCGCTCGCGGTAAAACTCCAAAAAAAAAACTAAAAAGGTAGGTTTCATACAAAGTTTCATCCTCTATTTTAACCCCTTATGGGATGTATTTCGAAAAATGCTAAAACACGTATTTAATTAATTGTATTGAAGAGTATTAATACTAAGTTTCAAGTAATTCTGATCATAAATGTTTTTTTGATTTGATTGTATTATAACGTGTTTTCTCGTGGGAAAGAGATAATCTCCCGCGTTAAAAAGTAGCCTATGTCTCTAGTCCTCCAACTATCTCCACACAAAAATCACGCCAATCCGCCAAACCGTTTCGACGTGAAAGAAAGACAAACAAATAAACAAACACACTTTTACATTTATAATATTAGTATGGATTAACTTGATGACTTTATACAGGTTGGAACAAATGGATGGGACTTGGACGAATAGTAGGTATACATATATTTGAAGTTATCAAGTCTTACTCAAAGGAAATAATCTGTTTTTTTTAATATTGCATTTCTTTTAAATAAAAATTGACCCGAGTTGGTAATAGAACCTGCTATTAATTCAAAAAAGTACCTCATCACTATTTCTTATAGAACTTATCGGTAGAGTTTATGATAAGGATAAAGCTCGAACAAAAAAAATCTTTATATTATTTTTTATATTATTATTTTATAATAAGTCAGTACTTTGTTTTGTAAAAAAAATGTTAAAGTTCTTGAAACGGTCATTTACTCACAATACTTATAATTTTCTCATTTAGAAGTTCGTTAAATTTTTTTAACATTATAATTTCATTTGCATAGAACATACACATATTATAAATATAAACACCTATGACTGGAGTACAAACATTCGTGCTCATCACACAAATGAATGCCCCCAGCGGGACTCAAACCTGCAACCGCTGGCACAGTAAGTAGGGTCACTACAAACTGAGCTAAACGTGTCGTCAATCAAATTTGAAACAATAATAAATGCTGACGATATCACAATAATTCATAGAAGCACTATATAATCACTAAAATATTGTGCATTATTTATCCAAGTTATTGCGCAAATAGAACAAAACGTTTTTGCGAGGACAATTTACGAGTTGTTGGGACTAACACTTGATATCTTATTCTAGGTCAGGGGTTGTCAAACTATTTAATTTATTTATCGTTCTTGAATAAAATAATCTACTACTACTAGCTCGAAATATCTTATATATATATATATATATATATATATATATATATATATATATATATATATATGTCTTTCTTATATTAATATGTCTTTTATATAATTAAAATATGTATATTTTAAATAAAACTATCTTTACGGTTTATTTATAATTTTTTATAGTTTATATGTTCTATTTTTATATAGTTTAAGTACTATTTTCACGGATTTATTTTGATTTTTGGTTCCCGCCGTTTCGAATGCTCTACAGCAATCATGGCTATAAAGCTAGCAAAGATAGTTTTATTTAAAATGTCAAATATTCGCGTAAATCTATGAAAGTATTATAATATTTATACGTTAACCTAATATATTTTTTTATGTTAAGGAATAAGAGAATTGATATTTCTGTCAGGATATTTTTTTTATGTCAGGTAAACTACACCCTACTGAGTTTTACTAAGAACTACATACATACATATATTACCACACACATATTTATAAGTACAAGATAAAAAATAAATAAAATAAAAAATAAAGATATAAAGGCAAAATTGAGTGTAAATGTGTATTTAAAGAAAAATAAGCAAATAATATTCCTATTAAGGCTCGATTTTATAAATTATTTTAGGGATTCTAACATACTATTCTTATATAAGCATTAGATATCTTTTACAATTAAAATTTACATATAGTTTACTAATTATACACTATTTTTTTATATCAATAGCAATATTGTGTAAAATAAAAGGATCATCTAAAAGGCAGGCCCTAGTTTGAAAGGTCCTGTTAGAGCAGAGTCTAAAAGCCGATAGTTAACAAAAACTTTACTTCGGCAAACTAATTGACTGTGAGCTAAATAAATTAGTTGATTCGTGGATAGTTTCGGGATAGGGGTAGAATACCGAAAGAGGCAAATATATTTTGTTAAAACCAAGAAATGAGATTTTCATTACAATCGCCGCCTTCCTTTTTTCTTTATAAAATAATTAGCAGAACCCGCGGCTTCACTCGCGTTAAAATTACAAAAATATCTCTAAAAAGATAGTTTCATACACACTTTCATCCCCTATTTTACCCCCTTATAGGATGTATTTCGAAAAATTCTAAAACGTATTTATTTAAATTTATTGAAGAGCATTAATACCAAGTTTCAAGTAATTCTGATCATAAATATTTTTTTGGATTATATTATGTCACTCTTCAGCCCTCCAACTATTTCCACACAAAAAATCACCACGCTCCGTTACTCCGTTTCGACGTAAAATAAGGACAAACAAACAAACAAACATACAAACAAACACACTTTCACATTTATAATATTAGTATGGATGGATACCTGAGCGACCGACTTGGCGTTTTTTTGTGAATTTTATGAAATGTGAAAAGGTGTAAAAATTGCGTTTTTTTTCAGAAAAGGCATCTTTATGTAAGACAAACTTAAGAAGCAAAAATTTATGTAAATATAAAATTTGATTCAAAATGTTAGAGCTGTGTCCGAGATACAAAATGAATATATGTATGTATATACAAGAAATTCTTATTAAAGATATTAAGATTACAAGATTGTCTTGTAGGATGTATTTTTACCTTATAGTCGATAATTCTACTGTTGACTTGTAGTCGTAGTTCAAATGTTGAAACAATTTTTTAAATAAGTTTCCAATAACGACTTTTTACAATGTATCTACAAATCTCCTGAACTATTTTATATACAGAGAAAAAAAAGCAAGCTTACATATATTAAACATTTTTATATGCCCAAAATATCCTGATTATTATAAAATAATTATTTCAAATATATTTTAGTGCGATACAGCTTTTAATGTCATTATTTAAGATTTTTGATATAATTTGTCATAGGAGATACAACTAATGATTATAATATTCCTATAGGCGATGCAAATAGATCGTAATGGAATGAAATTTAATAATTGAATTCAAAAAGGCTTTTAAATTGTTTTATATTTCAAACGCTCATACACAATCCGCTTTGATATTAACTAATTTTACAACTATATTATCTTCTTCCATATGAGCAATAAAAAATCTGCCAATATAATACTTTCTCAGAGTCAATCTCTCCCGTGACCATGATTGTTGTAAAGCATTCGAAACGTGGAAAACTAAAAAATCCGAATGAATCCGCGAAAAGATCGGAAAAGATAGTTTTCTTTAGTTTAGAAAATCTGCCTATATTTTAAGAAAATCGTTATATTAAAATATTAATAGACTTACAATTAAAAAAAATACATACATACGAACATAGAATCTCCTCCTTTTTGGAAGTCGGTTAAAAATGAGAGGGGATGACAATATAAAATTATAATTATCACATACCTTTTTAGAAATCTTGTATTTCTTTGACTTGGAAATAATTTGATGATCTTTTGCCCACTGGATCTTTGTTCTATTGTACCCTTTTACAGGGCATTTTATTTTCACTTGTGTCCCATAGAAAATTGTTGCCGATCCACCTACTTTGACTGTTACCTATGATATATAATAACAAACATTAATAAGTAAATAATTAAATTAGATGTAAGTGTATGTATGTACGTAAGGGTTTTTTAGAAATAATAAATATATTATATTAGACAAAAATAGCTATTTTTAAGTTAATAACTATTATTATACTTCAAACAAAAAATTATAAAAATCGATTCAGAATTTGCGACTAAGAAAAATACGACCCAAATCTTTCAACTCCTTTTTGGCATTACCATTCAGTGGGACAATGTGGCTAGAATTCTTGCCAATATTACACGCGGACATAACTTGTACAGCAATAACTAAGTGATCATTTCTTTTATATAAATAATATATAATTAAGTATATTTGTAATTTTAATATATTTCTTTTATTATATATAAACTATTGAAACTACTTTTTGAATTCGATCAAAAAACTTACCTTCTTTTTCTTCGGATCGTGTTGTATGTAAGAAGAATTGGCCAAAGATATTTCTGGGGCAGAAGTATCAAGAAGACAAGGTCGACTGTTGCAGGATTTAGTGAGCGCTGGTCGAGGTGAGTTGCACTGAGAGGCGGGTCGCTCGACCACGTGGGATTGTGCCATTATTTGCTTGCACACCACCTAATTATGGTAAGAAGTTGTGTAAGCTTGACTTTATTTTTAGTACAGATAAAATATTAATATTAAAGAGTATTTATATATGGGATATATTTTGTTCGTATAATAGTTGAGTTGAATTGTCGGTACTCGCGGATTATCAGTATAAAAAATTCTATTATTACGTATATAATATAATTTATTATACAATTATATTATTTACATTTATTTAGAATAACATTCTATAATCAGCGATTATCTTTTATTCTTATATTTAATAATTATTTTTAAATTTTTATGAAATGAACTGTTCTAAAAAAGCAGACATTAATAGCCCTAGCATTTTTGTGGGCTTAAAAGCCGTTTACATAAAAAAAACCACATAAACATGAAACATTTTCACATTCATAATAAATAACAAATATGAAATACAAAAATATTTGTTAGTTCTTAACAAAAAACAGATTTTCTATAATCAAAAATAGAAAAAGGTAACATATAAAAATTATGAACGTATTTCTTTCATAATAATAAATTATTCAAAAAAATACATCCCTCTGGTGACTTCATATAAAATTAGATAAGTCCGTGTAAAGTCTCGTTGACTTCAACAAAAACCTTGTAAGTCGAGAAGGCTTTGTAAGATTAATTTGCATTAAGATTGAGGTCATGGCTCTTGAGGTCATGGTATTTTAATTGATATTATAAATTCATAAAAGAAGAAATTATAATATTCTAATGTTACATTGTAACATATACATATATAATAATTGGAAATTTTTTAACTAACTTTCAGTACCTTTATTTATACTCTTGTTAAAACAACCTAAATTATGAAAATGTTATCAACGTTGATATTTAAAAAATTAACTAAATTGTTACGTTGTTTTAGTGGACTTAGCCTTATTGGCAAATAGAAAAATAAAAAATCACAAAAGTGTTAAATCACAGATTTAAAATATTATTTATTTTCTCACAATCTCATACAACAGATCTCAATAATCTATTCTAATATCTTGTTTTCTTGCTAGAGATATATATTTAATACTCCTTAAATATCATGTGAAATTCCTACCGCTAGTAAGAAATATTACACATAGGTTATTGGGATACGAGCCAAGACTAAATACTCGGGTGTGCGAATAAAAACTTTTTTTTTCTTTAGTTACCATAAAAGTATCGTCTAAGATGACGAAAAAAAAATCTGGCAAGTTTGAGCTCTTTTTTTGGCACACCCTACTGAATACAGATAATAACTAAATCTCGTTTTGGCAAATATTGCAAGAATTGAACTACAAACCTCTCTCTGCTTCATTCCGCCTCCACAAGTTTTAGAACATTTGGACCATTCGCCAGTATGCCATCTTACTGGGCAGTCCAATACATTGCAGTACTGTCGGTCGGGAGGCGGCGGTTGGGGGCACATGCTGTTCGGTACTACAACTGTGTTTGTACCACCCCTTGTTACCTGGATAGGAATATTTTTCTATATAAATAAATTAAAGACTTACCCTATATGCGACTCTAGATATCTAAAATGCCTATGTTTTACTCCAGGTGTCTTTCTGGACAATTTTATCCAAATCTTTCTACGTGACATTGGCGAAGTAAATTGTACCCAACTGGCACTGCTAGAAGCCACGAAATAAAAACATTGAATTGAATCCAAATCTGTTCAGCCGTTTTTGTGTAAAGGAGTAGCAAACAGACACACATACAAACTTTTGTATTTATAACAGTAGATAAATAAACAATTACGGCTATATACTTGAATATATGTATTTATAACCATCATTTTTATTTACGTTTACACACGTACTGTTTCTGTGTACACACTCATGTACATATAGACACAAATATAGGTTATAAGGTTAAAATATTTAACGAATATATTACGTATATATCCTTATGATATATTTAAAAAAAAGACAAAAAATCTATTCATGTAGGAATTGAACCCACGAATAAGGAAGTAATAGAGATAGAGTAAGCGGTATAGAGTAAGTACATTTTAAAGAAAATTTAAGAATGGAAATGAAGTGTTTCTACTAGTACGCAAATATTGGGAGTGAATAGTAAATATGTTTTAGCAATCTTTGAACAGCTGACGGTAAAAATCAGTTCGAAGGAATCAGGCGCCTGAAAATGCACTCGCAAAGAATGTCGAGTTGCCACTCGCTACGACTTTTGCAATTTGCGTGGCGATTACATATTATTTTATGTAGTTTCTGGGTATATTTTTACTATTTACTGGCTATTTTTATTATATACTAGATATGCTTTTTGATTTTAGACGCGGTGACTCTTTAAATTGGCATTGGTAACTTTTTTATTTATAAACCGATTGATATAAAACAAATACTGAATATTAAGCGAAGCTTACCACTATACTTTTGTGAAAAACGCATCCAAATGGGTTAAGCCTTTAAGATTATCGCGCACAAACGCACAGACAAACAGACAAAAATTCTAAAAATCATTGTTTTGGGTTCTAAAGCCCAGAAAGTAAAACAAATAAGGGATTCTCTTACCTCGTGTATGCACGTGACTTCTCTGGTCTGAATGCCGATGCCACAGGACTTAGTGCATTGCGAGAACTCCGTATAGTTCCATCTGCAGGTGTTTTAGGTATTTAGAATAGATATTTTGATACTTTATACGTGTTTTATATAAACATTTATTTATACCATTTATTTAATTCACACATATATATATATATATATATATATATATATATAGATAGATATATATAGTTTTTTTTCCGTCTTCATTTGGAGTGTTTCAAAGTATATACATTTTATGGCTAGTTATTAGTGTTGTGCTATGTTATTATGTGTGTTGACGTTTATCGACATACAAACTAAAACAATTATTGACTTGAAATTTCTAAAATTATAATTGTAACATTGTAAAATTATAATTGTAAATTTCTAAAATTATAATTGTATTCCAGGTAATATGATATACTGAAATGAAATAAAAAATTGTCGATGCAGCAGGTTTCGAACCCGGACCTTTTGGATGATTTTCTTTAATTAATGATATGCTTCATAGAACGTCGAATCGGTTACGTCTGACGTGATAGCCTTACTAGTTTTTATAATATACTTATATCACTCTAAATTAATAGTTAAATATTATGTAAGTAAATGAGTGTTTGATGTATGTTGCTATTACTTCACATTGTATCGGCTAAACAGATTTTGATGACACTTGGAATAAAAATAGCCGACATCCTGGATATAATACTACAGGCTGGATAAACAGATTAACTTTAGTCATTTTACTATGAGATAGAGAGACTCTAGCAAAAAATAGTATTATATAATAGTAAAATATGCTATTAGATTAAAATCTTAGTCTAGGAATTAGAATGTAACAGCAGTTTTAACACTATGCGCTGTTAAAATGGTTCCCACGAGTTTAATATGAAATTCAAAGTTATTTTCACTTTATGAATATATAGATCTTATTCATATAAATATAAAGTTCAAATTTGAAGCTATGTTCTTGCGGCAGCATAATGTGGTGTAAAAGTATAAATTGAGTCCGTTCCAACTACCTGGCCGCTAGTGTAATGCATTAAAAAAATAAACAACATGGGTTTGACATATGAAATATAAGATTAAAAATATTCGGTACATATAAAACTAGCAGAACCCGCGGCTTCGCTCGCGCTAAAACTATAAAGAAGACTTTTAAAAGGTAGGTTTCGTACAACCTTTCATTGCCTATTTTATCTCCTTTATGGAATGAATTTCGAAAAGTGCTAAAAAACAGTATTTATTTAATTGTATTGAAGAACATTAATACCAAGTTTAAAGTAATTTAAATAAATAAATAAATAAAAATCTTTATTGGGCACGTTTTAAAAATTACAATTTATAAAATTATGTTCGATAATGACGAATTCTGATCGTAAATATTTTTTGGATTGTATTATGACGTGTTTTCTCGTGGGTATTAGATAATCTCTCGCGGTTAAAAGTAGCCTATGTCACTCTCCAGCCCTCCAACTATCTCCACATACAAAATTACGCTATAATATTAGTATGAATGTATTTCGTTCTATCATCATTTCTTAGAAGGTTGTTTGAATATTATTATATTTAAAAGTGTTGCAGAAAAACTCCATATGATTTTTATAATTTGAGCGCCTCCGGTATATAAAGGTTGTCCTGTTACAGATTTTTTTTTTAAATTAACAAAAAATTTGAATCTGGACAAGAGCGACACTTAGTGGATCCAAATATAGCTAAGAACCACGAAGGTGAGTCCATCTTATTTCTTATTGTAAATGCTAAAGTTCAGATATTTGGATGTTTGGATGGATGTTTGTTACTCAATCACACCAGAACGCCTGAACGGATGAAATTTGATACAAATTATTAGATTATAGTTTGGAGTAATACGTAGGCTACTTTTTACCCCGGAAAAATTTACGGTTCCCGTGGGATAGATTTGTTTTTGTTTTTCTAGAGGCTAATCCGGGCGACGCGAGGGTTTAGTACTACAACTACGTACTAAGTAAATGAAAACAATCATCAAAATCGGCAAGACAGTTTAGAAAAAAAAATTCGGAAGATACGCGTACTGGAATTTTATATATAAAAATATTAATGCTATCAACAAATCTCATTTTCCTTCTTCTTATGAACTTTAAAAACCATGTTTTAACAACATTTTATTATTCTTGTCTAAGAAATATAGCCTTCAAATTTTCTTTTACGGGCCATCGGATGGAATTCGTGTAGGGAAAAAGAATGCTCTACGGGAAGTAGGTCGATCAGACATTAAGTAATCTAATCCGTCTCCCGTCACGAGCTGTCCGTGTGTCAGAATCATGTCGCTTGGTAAAAAAAAGTTTGGAATTAAAAAAAAAACGTTTAACTATACAACATTTTTAGCATTATACACATTTTAGTGTCTTTTTAGTGTTTTTAAATACATGTATTTAAAAATACTTATATTTAAAATGCTTGAGATTGAAAATATCTAAAAATATGCCAGCTAGTGGTAGTTGGAAATCCGAGTGAAACGGGTTCAAGCCCGAGTCACGCACCTCTGACATTTTGATACGCGAATTCTTGCCAACATAATTACCATTTACCTTACGGTGGAAGAAAACAGCGTGAAAGAAAAAAGGGAAACCTGCACATCTCAGAGAACTTAGTAAGTTTTCGAAAGACATGTGAAGTTCGCCCACCCGCACTTGGCCAGCGTGGTGGACCATGGCCCGATCCCCCTTGTAGTAAATGGAGGCCCGTCAGCCTAGAGTTGGGACGTAAAAAAAGAGCTGAACACGAAAAATATGACATTTGACATATTCAATTAAATAGCAAATATCTGCTAATTTAAACCATATTTCGGGGGTAGCTGGGCATGTGAGGCATTTTACGAATTTCTATTCCTTATATACCTGCTAACATTTTGAAATCATAATGAAGTTTTCAATATTTTGTTCCCAAACCGGATTCCGATTGGACTATAAACAATTTTTGTTTTAAAAGAAATGCATTGAGTTAATGATCCAATCTCGTTTCGATTACATCCTAACGACTAGAATTACAGAGCCTGTGATTTCTAGCTAACAATTCATCTTTTTCAGGATAAAAAATAGCTTAAAGCACTCAGAAATAATGTACCTATTAGTGCTAAGCTTTTCCAGAAAGAAAGCTTTTCACGCTTTATCTGCTGAACCGATAGATTGAAACTCTGGTAAGGACAAGGGATAGTTTTTATCTCGAAAATCATCCCTTGAGGGGGTAAAAAGGGGGGCGGAAGTTTCTATGGTCAATCAATCATTTCTTAAGTAAGGGATTTTTTTAAAGTACGTATCCGGACCTTCCTAGGTACCTAGAGAGTATTTATTCTATACGAGCCGTTAATAAGTTAATCTATCAAAGTAATATAACAATATTCTTATACATCTTTTAAAAGGTTAACGTGTAATTTTTACATATTTTCACAAACTTTCACATTTATAGTATCAATATTTTTAAATCTCACAATAAATTGATATTATTGTCCTAATAATACGATACTTTATTTTGTCGAGAATGGTATGCAATGGCAACATATTGCATGAGACTCAACGGTTTAGGGCCGATATTTCTATTATTATTTTCTTACACGCGAACTAATAATTTATATTTTTTTATCGATTTTTTTTGGTTATTTTCTCATAAATTTCTAACTAATCACTGTATAATATTATACACTAGCATTGCCCGCGGCTCCGCCCGCGTTCAGATGACCAAAAAGCAAATTATTAGGTTTTACATATTAGTATACTCTTACATTGCAATTTTTGTATTTTTTCTCAGAAATGAGATATTTTCCCGCGGTAAAAAGTATCCTATATATTGACCCAGATAACCAGCTATCACCATACCAAATTTCATCAAAATGCCTCCAGTGGATTTTCTGTGATGCGGTAACAGACAGACAGACAAAAATTCTAAAAACTATAGATTCGACCTCTGTATCGATAATAATGTCTATTTTAATAAGATTTTCCAAAAAATATTTAATGTACAGATTGGACTTAGTTAGAATTTTATTATATGTATAGATTTAGACCGCCACTGTGCTGAGTTTGTGTTTGTTCGGTGCTTTGGGCTAGTGGCAGAAAATACTGTACGAATTTTCATACGGTTTTGAACGATAAACAAGGAGGTTATCTCGACGAGGCTATAATTTATGAACATTGTGCATAAATAAACTACTTGTATGATATTTGAGAATAAAGTAGAAAAAATATCATCCGTTTTGGAATCATTAATATTATAATTAATGCAGAATCCGTATTAATATTATAAATGTGAAAATTTGTGAATATGGATATTTGTTACTCTTTTACGCCAGAACGACTAAACGGATGTAAATAAAATTTGGCACAGAGATAGATTAAAGTCTGGAATAATACATAGGCTACTTTTTATCTCGGAAGGAAAAATGTACGGTTCCCGTGGGATAGGTTTGTTTTTGTTTTCCTAGAGGCGAAGATGAGCAAAGCGAGGGAGTGCCGCTAGTTACAAATAAGAAAGAATTATAATATGGTTCGCTGCAAATGTCTAAATGATTGAAAATGCCAAAATCATTTAGAATAAGGTTTGGAGAAACGTATCAAAGGCATGGGTAAAGGATAGAGTACTTTTTATTGCGGTATCGAGTGTTTCGTATGACATTTTTATTACCTATAACTAACAATAAAGTCAAATCTTGTATGTCTATTTTAACTAACTTTTGAATAACGTATCGATTTAAAACTTTTAAGTACTTTATAAAGATATATAATGTTGATATCAATAAACAGGTCTGATTTAGATAGAGTGAATGGTTATACGTAAATATTTGAATTTGGTCTAATTTGATTCGTTTTAAGTGACTACAAGGTATTGTATTTAGTTAAAAGTTAGTTTTATAACATTACTAGCATTGCCCGCGGCTCCGCCCGCGTTCAGATGACAAAATGTTTCGCTACTAATTACTTCTAACAACGATATCTCAAAAACTATTCATCTGATTGATTTAGTGTAAAGAGCAATTTTAATCTGCATTAAATGACTAAGCTAACTAAAATATTCATTTGGTTATAATAAGTATAGATAATAGTTAGGGTTCCGTACCCTAAGGGTACCAACGGGATCCTATTACTAAGCCTCCACTCTGTCCGTCCGTCTCTCTATCAGCGGGCCATAGCACATGACTCTTAATAGGTAGATTGTTGAAATTTGCAGATTGTGTATGTCTATTGCCGCTATAACAATAAACAATAAAAAAAACCAATGGCGAATTTCAAAATGGCCGGCATGCCAATAAAAAAAAAAGAAAAAATTCGATTAAGACATAGTTTTATATATTGTACGATGGTAAGGACTTGACCGGTTTTATATATATTTTTATTATTATTGAAATATGTAGGTGAAGTTGATGCTCAAATGAAGCGGATACAAGTTGTCGCCCACTTTCGTTACGATAAATAGAATAGCTACCACAAATAAATAATAATTTTAATATACTTTCTATATAGAAAATAGTAAAATTCTAAGAATGAAAATCGAACGCTAAGTACGCCGCCACGCATATTAAATTTTCTTCAGTGCTATAAACTTTTCAACTATTACAGCAACTTTATATGGAACTAAAAGTTATAATGCCTAAGCGTAGGAAATCGATTGCTACGAAACAAGTTTGAGTTATTTGAGATCTAGTTAAGGTTTGGGTCTACGAGTTCATTTTACGGGATCAATTTCCGTATTCTCAGATAGTTTCTGCTATAATTATCATTATTACTATTAAATATTATATTATTGACGACACGTTTGGCTCAATTTATAGTACTTGCTGTGCCAGCGGTCGCGGGTTCGATTCCCCAGGGAGCATTTATTTGTGTGATGAGCACCAATGTTTGTACTCCAGTCATTGGTGTTAATAATGTGTATGTATTTAAAGTTATATATGTGTAGTGTATCAACTATCTGGTATCCATAACACAAGCCTCGCAGCTTACCATGGAACTAGATGGTGTTGTGTGTTAATGTCCTAACAAAATTATTATTATTAACGATGCTAGTGTTTCAGTAGTAATTTTTTTATTGTTAACACTAAATCTAGTTAATAGCTACTGATCAAAAAAGTAAAAAAAACGGTTGAAAGAAAAAAGTTTAGTAGTTATTTAAAATAACTTTTTCTCTTTTATTAGATGTTTTTACTTACCGTGGTGGGCAAGGGTGATCGTTACACGTCCTCACTCTGTTCTCTGGCTTGGTGTGTGGGTCGCACATGTATGGAGAAGCGTTCTTACCATCTTCATCTCTCACACATTGGATTATAAGCTCCTAAAACATGAAGAATACGAAGAATATTAGATATAAAATATTTTTTTTTATTTTATTTATTTCGTTATTTATATTATTATTCATATATTTAAGAAACAAGGAAAAAATCCACTAAAAATGGTGAAATAATTGTTTTTTAAGTGAATTTACATGTGTTTTTGTTTCTTGTAAAATGTCGTTACTTGCACAGTTGTGCTATATATTGAGTCTAGCACGTGAAAGTACTAAATATTACGATTGTGGGTTGGAATCTTACAAAGAGCGAATATGTGCAAGAGTCATTTTTTTGTTTCGATGATAATTATTATTGTCTTTTCAAGTTTTACTATTTATACGGAACAAACCAAATAAACATTAGTCTAAAAATGTTAAAATAATGTTCGATTCGATTATCTATACATATAATAAAACTGTAGAGGTCGAATGTCTGTACATAGAAAAAAAATGCTAAAAACCGAGTCAGGGGGATGTAAGAAGAGAATTAAAAGAATAAATCCTGTTTTTTTTTTTCCCCTTTTTCTTTTTCTCTGTCTGTCTGTTTATCTGTCTGTCTGTTTATCTGTGTGTCTGTTTGTACGGGCTAATCTCCGAAAGTATGAGCCCGATTTAAATGAAATTTTGTTTAGTGGTACCTTATATCCCCGGTCAACATTTTAGATACTTTTCATCCCGGAAAATTAAAGACTTCCCGTGGGATAGTTAAATAACTATAGTAACTTATACAGCTTAGTACACAAAAACTACTGATTGGATTTTAATGAAACTTTACAATAATATACAATAATAATAAGTTTATACATCAGAATAACTAATAGGCTACTTTTTATCCCGGAAAAATGTACGGTTCCCGTGGGATAGGTTTGATTATGTTCGTCCGATATTATACCCGAGCGAAGCGAGGGTGAGCCGCTAGTGAGTTATAAAATCATTTATTTGTGATAAAATAGTTTATTTTACCAGAAATAATCGATTTTATAACTTTCCAGTAAAATGTGTTATCGCAACTCGACGTAAAAATACAATTATTTCAATTGTTTTGTGCAAATATAATCAATCCGTCAAGGAATTTGAATGGTATCAAGATAATGATATTTATTTTCGTTTAAGATTACATTTTTATGTAATCTATACATATAATAAAATTCTGAGTCGCATCTATAATTAAATATTTTTTGGAAAATATTATTGAAATAGTCATTATTATTGGTTCAATAGCCGAATCTATAGTATTTATCATTTTTGTCTGTCTGTCTGTGACCGCATTACGGGAAAATCACTGGACACATTTTGATGAGATATTATGATAGCTGGTTATCGAGTTCAACATATAGGATACTTTTTACTGCGGGAAAGTATCTCATCTCTGAGAATCTATACTAAACGTTAAAACGTAACTTTTGTAATTTTTAATCATGGCTTTGTCTTTCACATCAATCGGATACCAGAAAGTGCTTGAAAAATGTACTTCTTTCAATATAGTAGAAAATATTTAGGATAAAAAAACCATATAAGTTAAGGTAGTGTACCTGAACTCCACTTAAGCATGATGCACTACAACTGGTGTAGCCCTTCTCTTTCCACGAGTAAGACTTCCCAGGGGACCCGGGTGCTACTCTAATGTTGCTCGAAGTTCCGAATACTAAGGATCTGCTGAAAATTATTTCTTTTTTCAATTGGAAGAAACTTACAAATCTATACTAATATTATGAAGAGACAGAGTTTGTTTGTAGTAGCAAGATAATATATAACCTATAACCTTCCTCAATAAACGGGCTATCTAATGCAAAAAGTTTTTTTTTAATGGGACAAGTAGTTCCTGAGATTAGCGCGGTTACACAAACAAACAAACAAACACTGTTTCTTTATAATAATAGCATAGATTTCTTTTAATATGTTTCTTATTAGGTTTTTTTTAGATATGTAATAAGATATAATATAACATTATTACTGAGCAATTAGGTATATAACATCAACAAAATAAGAACAAATAAGTTAGTATTTAATTTGACTTGCACAGATTATTGATTAGTGATGGAATATAGTACTCCATTGACTGGCGATGTTTACTATGAAAGTTAGTATACTTAATTCTAATATATAGCTACAACGATAGAAGTAAAGATCCTTAACTTAAAATGCATTTATATTAGTCTACAATGCATTAAAGACAAGTTATAAATAAAAAAAAAATAAAAAAAGACCCGACCATTTTGAACCGATTTTCATCAAAAATAGCTTCATAGCTACCCAACTAATTCACCTTTCAAACAAACAAAAAACTTAATCAAAATCAGTTCATCCGTTCGGGAGCTACGATGCCACAGACAGACACACACACTGACATGTCAAAATTATAACACCCTGTCGTTTTTGCGTCGGGGGTTAAAAATAGCGTTATTTTAAAGATATGGTACACGTAAGCCATTAACATAAATTCCTCCATTAATCATCCAAGTTTCCACAGATACGATGAAACATAAAAACTACACAAACCCTAAACTTCTACTTATGCTAGCAATTTTAAGTGTTACATTAAATTTAAACCAGATAATATATATATATATATCAACTAAATGATCAAAAGCTAATTCTCTTAGAAAATTTTTTTAACTTCTCCCGTACTTAAAATTTCTTTTAATACGAGGTTAAATGAGTTTCATATCAAAAATGCGATCATTTATGATTAATGGTTAAGAAGTAATGGCATTGTGTAATACTTGCCTACAGCATAAATCGATAATCGAGTAATAATCTTATCAGGATATTGTTATCAGTGTAAAATTTTCAACAAACCATATTGGTCAATGTCACGGTGTACGTTGTATACACAAGTGGTATAAAAATGTCTTTAGACGTAAATATAAGTGAACCAGACGAATTCAACTGCATTGAATTGCATAACTGTATTGAAATTGTCGCAAATATATATGAATTAAAGGATTTTATATATCACGTCGATATATTGTGTGGTAAAGGAGAGAATTTTATAGCAAACGTTTTTAGAGTATCAATTAAAGAAAGTGAAAGTGACAAAAATATTAGTGTTATAGTGAAAACCCTTATCAATACGACGAGGCAAGAGTTGTTTCGCGAATTGCATAATAGGGAAGTTATTGCGTATAGAGATATAATAGAAAGATACAATGTCATACAAAATAATTTCACCGTTGAAGATCGAATAGTTTTACCTAAATGTATATTTTCGAGTACATCAAAGAACAATGAAGTAATAATTTTAGAAGATTTACTCTTAAGTGGTTTCGAACTTGATTCTAAACTAGCAAAATATGAAAAATTAGACTATCCACAAGTGCGTTTGATAATAACAGAATTAGCGAAGTTCCACGCTATGTCATTTGTTTATGAAACAACTGATAAAAGTTTTGAAAATGTACGAGATTCATTTACAGATTTAGTATATCAAGATAATTTTCTAAACAAAACAAAGTTAAAGAACTATTTCCAAGAATCGTTCCAAATGTCCCTGAATCTCATAGCAGATGAAGAGATTAAGAAGAAATTAGAACATGTTAAAATTAAACTATTAGATTTACTTAAAATGTATACAAAACCTAAGAAATATAATGTATTTTGCCATGGTGATTGTTGGATAAATAATATATTATTTAAAAATGAGGTAAGTTTATCTATTTACCTATAGTTTTTTTTTATCATAAATTATCTATAATTAATTATTAAGTTATAATGTACATGTAATATATGTAAATCTATTTCAATAGTATTTTTTCTTCTCAAATTGATCTTCAAACTTATTCGCTTACTTTTGATATTTACCGTATAGTGGTGAAGTTCATAATCTGTTTACTTTTTGACTAACATAGAAAAAAATAGATTGGATTATGTCTATGTCTCATTTTAGACTTCCATTGCGGTTTTAAACAGATTCAAGGAAAAAAGTGTAGCCGCATGGAATTTTAGTTTCAATAAAAAGTTATCATTTTAGTTAAAAATGTGTCTTTTATTTTATATTAAAATGAATGTTAAATGTATTATAAGTTTCATAAAGAATTATAAAAAGTACTTAAGTTTTAATTCTGAGATTCTTAATTAATATATTCTATTTAATCTACTACAAATTTCTAATTCTAATATATTATCTTATTTTTAGGGAACACGAAGGGAGTTGTGTTTTTTGGACTTCCAAGCTATGCGCTATGCAAACCCTATAACGGACATTCTATATTTTATGTATATTTGCACAGACTCCGAATTTAGATCTGAATATTTTGATGAACTAAAAACAGCTTATTATGACACTTTTAAAATATTCTTAAAACAGTATAATGTGGAAGCAAATGTAATATATCCTAAAGAAGATTTTGATAGTGATATACAAGAAACGTTGCCATTTGGATTATTAGTAGCATTGCTGGAGCTACGACTAGTTACTATTATTCCTGAAGATCAAACGATATCAAAAGACTTAGATGTAATTCCAGACAGTGAAGAAACAACCGAAGGAACAGCACTGAGTGAAGATAAATTATATGCAATTAGAGTAAATGATGTTGTAAATGAATGTATCAACAATGGTGTTATACAGAATCTTCTAAATATTGTAAATTTTTAGCGTTCTTATGTATAATAAAAATGTTTGTTTTAAGAACATTTAATCATTTTGTTATTGAATAAACATTATGAAAGTTAAAAATATTTGGCAATAACTCGCATACGTGTTAATTTATATAGCAGAGTAATTTAGATTTTTTTAGTTAATCATAATATAATTTCAGAAATATTTTATTTAGCTAGCATAATATAAAAGAAAATTAAAATCAATTCAAACTTTATACATTGGGGAATACGCGAAGATTTCAGAGTGATTTATCTTACGCATTTCAATTTTCAGGCAAAAATTTCTTCATACATTTTTAACTAACATTTTCTCAACTTTAAGTTTTAACCGGATTTTACTACAAAGGTTTTAGATTAAGAACTTAAATAAAATTAGTACTACTAACCTGTCTCCTGTCCCATAAGCTGGAGCACTTGAGTCACCAAAGGAAGTCCCATAGGCCATTGAGCACGGTTCCATAACACATCGCTCCGTTTCTTCTGTTGGTTTTGGTCCCATACATTTACTATCAGGAAGTTTTGCTATTGTTCGGCTGAATTCTAAGAAAATCTTGCAATGTACTTCCTTTTTCCTCCATCCCTCACCACAAGTTACACTACATGGACTCCATTCGTCATCTTTGATGTAACTATAAATAATTATTTACCATGAATCGTTGTACGAGCAAATATTTTAGAAGATAATCGACGTGCATGATTGCTGGATGCAATATACTACATTTGAATGCGTTTTATTAATTATATATATTAGTTTCATTTCATTTCATTCGAACTTATCCTATATCTATTAGTGAACTGACATTGTGGTCCATTCAATATTCTATCATTGCTAGGGGATTTCACACATGATAAACACATGCTGGGTGCGAAAGGTTTAAAAAACATGTAAACACTACCAATCCTAATAGTTCAGATCTGGCTGGTATATGTAGAAGTATGTGCACCAGTGTTAGTCTGTATGTATCGCCAATTGTTTCCTGTAAACTCGATAAATTCATTTAAAAAATTAACTTTAGCAGCGTCAAACCACTCTGTGAATAAAGTCGAAGAAAAAACAACTTTGTTGGTGTCAGTGCAGATGTATAGTATCTTAGAGTATTGGAAAAGTGTTTCGAAGCGAAACAAAAAGTAGACAAACTTTAGATAGTGTAGTAAGTGCAAGGAAATACAAACTTTATAGTGCAGTGCATAGAGTTGAAAAAGGTATAATCATAAAGAAAGTAATGGTCTGTGACAGGTAATGAACTGAAGGGTTCTTGCGAAAATAGAAAAGAGTGCATACGAAATTGGCCAGTATCCAGCTAAATTTAAGTTTAATATTCCTTTAAATCAATTTTAAGTGATAACTATCTATCCTTAAAACACAGTTACATGATTCAATTCTAAAAGGTCTAATAGTGAATATTAGTGCCTATCGTCCTTAAACCATAAAAAATAAGGTTCAGAATGGTTTGAAGACGATGCCCGATGACAGAACGTTTAAGCTTGGAAGTAAAGGGAGCAACAGCCAGTGGATGTGTGTATGAGGTGGGGTAATGTTTTGTAAAAAATGTGATGTTCTTCTGAATTTAAAAGTGAAACCTTTAATTAAAACTGGTCAAGGTACAATACCTTACATACAACCAGCCACACGCAAAGAATATTTTGTAATTGCTGAAAACAATACAAAATACTCTGAGCTATTTAAGAGGATACAAACACTATATATAATATAAGGATAAACATATTATTGTATATATATACATACATATATATATACATACATACATATATATATATATATATATATATATATATATATATGTATATATATATTTGTAAAAATATAAACGTATCGTATTGTAAATATATAGATGAAGTGTAAAATATATCTCAATAAATGGCTTTAACGTAAATAATAAAACTTGTTAAGTACTAAATCTAACTACCATACTGTAAATTATTTTACTGCTTACGAACATTTGAAATCTAAAAGGCTTTGCATCCTTTGAATTACTTTCTACAAGTACATTACTTTACTACAATATATAATTTCATTTTATAACTTTACTTTTTCAACAATTTGATCTAGAAATGAATTATTACTATAAACTCTATATGTCTGTTTTCATCATTTGTTGAACAACTATTAAAATATAAATATTATGATTAAAAAAAATAAAAAATATGCATGCAGGTTTTATATTTGTAAATAATTTTAATTTTAATAAAAGAAAACATAAAACTTAGTTATGTAGAAATAAAAACGAGATGATATTTATATAAAATACGTATTTAACTCAGGTATTTTCAAATTGTTAAGAAACATTTCTATGCGAGTTGTTTTCATGGAGAATTATAATTAGAGCATTTAAGTTTGTAAGAATATATTTATGAAAACATCTAAAATGAATATTCTAATGTAATAATTAAGAGTTATTTCTTAGAATATTTATATCTATACACATAAAATTCTAACTGAGTCTAATTTGTATATTAAATATTTTTTTGGAAAATCTTTTTGAAATAGTCAATATATATATACAGAGACTGAATGTATAGTTTTTAGTATTTTTGTGTGTCTGTCTGTCTGGAAACGCGTCACGAGAAAACCGCTGGACATATTTTGATGAAATTTGGTATAATGATAGCTGGTTATCCGGGTCAACATATAGGATACTTTTTACCGCGGGAAAATATCTCATCTCTGAGAAATCTATACTAAACGTTAAAACGTAATAGGAACAAACCCGAGCGAAGCGAGTTATTAGCAGGTAAGTAGTTATTTCAGCGTAATTTATATGTTTTTTAAGATATTACTTGTCAATAAGCATTTGAAATGTAGCTTATACGTTTTTTTTTATTCTTCAAGATAAAATATAACTAGAAATTTGTTATTTCCATTGCACGTGTTGTTATTACGTATATAACAAGCCAATTTCCTACAACAAAAGCAAATTTGCAATTCATTCATATAAGAGCGAAAGAAGGTCGCTTTAATTTAAGTTGGTTCGTAATTATATCATTTGTTTGGGTTTGAAAAGAATTTTTTTCATTGAATTGTAGAAATATGCTTTCTATTTGTAGAAACACTTTGCTTTGATCATAAAACAGTAGACATGTCTCTGACAGACTCTTTATCAGGAAGTTACAAAGATTTCTGCACACAGGAAATTTTGGCATCACTGCTTATCATAAATTGTGTTTTTTTTCGGACTAATCTCAAAAGAATCTCATCTGATTTTCATACAGGTTTCATTAATTAAAAATGGGAATTATTTAATAATATAATACGAACGATACCTTATGAAAATTTTGAGAAAATAAACTCAAGTAGCTTATGTTTGTTGAATCATAAAATCGTCCCTTTTGAAAGTTTCCTCAATATTATAAATGCGAAGGGCATCTAGGGATGCTGCTCATATAAAATTGATAATATAAATTATACGGAAAATACATCGCCAATTTTTTTTCTTGACTGAGATATTTTTTGGGGTTAGAGTCAAAAGATGGTAAACTAAAAATAAAATGTTTTAATGCTAAATTTTATTTTGTATGGGACTATTTTATTCATTTTACACAAACAGTGTTTGGCTTAGTAGTATTAATAAATCTATTGAGTCAGACAACTAAAATCATTCGGATTGAACTGGCTACCCCTTAGACAGGGATAGTGACATAGACAAGCCGTTGCGTCACTAGGATGACTATTTCCAGTATATCTTTTAAAATTCATAAACCCATCTACTTATTTTTTCTAAATTTTCTGAACTATTTCTAATCCCAAAAGGCAATATGTATACAATTTTTTAAACTACCATCTTTTTCTTTATATAATAATACTTAAAATGAAGTATAATACTTCACTCTAAGTTTCTAAAATTCTAACAAGAATAATCTAAAAATATTCTATAGAAAATTAGAATAACTCAATGAAAATATTATTTTTATTATAATATTTAATCTTTCTATATAAATAAGAATTACTCGTACATAAAAATTATCCAATTAATAACTATAGAAGTACCTATTAAAATATTGTGAAAACGAAAATTATAATAACAAAGATGTGGACTGAAAACTGTTTACTAAAACAAAAACGAAAACGAAAACTGTTTTATGAATAAAATAATAAATTGTATGTCAAATTCAATTAAATTTTTAATTGTTTCTAACACACTAGTTAAAGCTAAACAAAAGTGAAACTCCACCAGAAACCAAAAAATCAAAAAACCAAAAAATGTTATGCATTATCTTTCTTCTTAACTTATTCTTATTTAACTTTTATTTGCAAAGAATATACTTAAATAAAGTTAAAATCTTGTTATTTATATCTGAGGGCATGGCAGTGCCCCCGCCAAGTCCAGCAAAAAGGTTGATATTACAATTAAAACAATATTTTCAACAACTTCAGTCATATATAATCTTGAAAAATCTAGATTCTTTTAAATTTTAGTTTAAAAATTCACATAAAATGTATGGTTTTATTTCACTTCAGCCTCGCTTTTGATAGTGCGTTAGAGACCTTACACAATATAATACTTACGTGGCCTCTACAGGTATGTCAGGTTCACCGATGAGTTGTTCGGCCTTCGCTTGAGGAGGTGGATACGGCTGGATGAGAGGTTGAGTGTGGTATACTACTCCCGGAAGTAAATCTTCTATGTCATCCTATGAAAAATATTTTGATTTTAAGTAATAGTAAATTTTATTTTAGAATCCCATACCCTAAAAGAAAAAAATATAAATAAATAAATATAAAAATATACCATTTAAAAAAAATATAAATACGAAAAACTGTTGTGTCTGTTCATACGAAAAACTGTTGTCTGTTGTGTTCAGTTTACACTGAAACGACTATACAGATTAAGATGAATTTTAGTATACAGATAGATTATGACTTCGAGTAGCACAAAAGCTACAGTTAGGCACTCGAGCGAAGCGAGAGTTAGAATTATAGAAGCTTATATAAAGTATCTAAATATTTTTTGGTATATAAGTTTTTTTGAAAGACAAGTCTGTAAACCCGCATTTGGCCAGCTTTGACTATTGGATGATCCCATTCCCATTTTGGATGCTAAAAAGTGCTAAGCATTTATAACGAGTAGGATATTTTAAAATAATTCTAATAGTTGTGAAAATATCGTAATATTTGATTTGACTTATTTAAAATATACTAATGAAGTCTAATTGGCAGCAACTCGTAGTGAGTGCGATACCTATTGAACGTACGAGAGCGGAAAGTTGCTTTGTAAAATAATTTGCAATTGGAAACACTAATTTGACGTTGAAATTATTATTATAAAAACGTAAAATAGTTTCACAGCATGTTTTTTTATGATAAGAAATAATGAAATGACAAAGTTGGTCAACTGGTTAATAACTTTTTAATTAGCGTCAGATAACCCAGCCAGGCGGGAAAGTCAAGAGACATACTGGGAGATGGCCAACTTTGGTGGGTGGGGTACTATGCGGGTTGCTCCTGGTACTTCTCTAATAGCAAAGTGGACAGTGGAGTAACCCCATGGTTGCTGGGGTCTGCATATATATATATATATATATATATATATATATATATATATATATATATATATATATATATATATATATATATATATATAGTTGATCGTATAATGTTTAAACAGCTATGTACAAACAAAAATTTGTTAAAAATTTATACCATTACTTGTATTATGCACCTAGTATAAACAAAACGACAAACCTACATTCTTTAATATAGTTTTGGTGTTTCATTTTTAACATATTATATAGATAGATATATGTCAATAATAAAGAGGTACTCAAACTTGTATTGGTTATATCTCAAGAGCTAAGTATACAAGACGATTCTCACTCTAAGGATATAAATAAACTGTATGAAAATCTGTACAGTAATTTCTGAGATTAGCTCGAACAAACAAACTCAGCGTGGGGATTTTTATAATATGTAGGGAATATTTATAATATGTAGTGAAGTAACTATCTTACATCAGGATCATCGGCTTCTCTATATGCGGGACAGCTGATACCAGTGGAACAAGGTCTTGATATCTCAGGTCTGATACCAGGGTCGCAGCCACCACCAGCAGGTGTGCACTCTACACCTCTCACCTGGACACCTTCTCCGCACGATACTGAACACTGTAACAAATATAGTATATTAATATTCGGAATCAACACCGTTCGTATGGTAAATAAATTTATTTATAAAATAATTTATATTAATAAGAGAGAGTTAACTCTCTAGTAATAATTTCTTAGATTTACGATATTTGACATTTTAAATATGTTTTTCTATTTGAAATATTTTTGGTCTCTCCCGTGACCATGATTGCTGTAAAGCATTGGTCAGGAACCAAAAAAATAAAATATATCCACGAAAAAATTCGAAAAGATAGTTTTATTCACAATCTCTCTCTAGTATCTCTTATATGCAGGCTATTCTATCTCTACCTGTATTCCAAATCTTACTTAAATTCGTCGAGCTATTACAGCATGAAGGAGTAACAAAATAACTCATGAACTCACAGACTTTCCTATTTCTAACATTAGCGTGGTAAGATTTTATTAAAAAAATCGTTTGAAAACTTTCTAAAATATTCATGTTACGAAATAATTTTGTGTTACAGAGTGTACTCAAATATTAAAATACATCAGGTGGGCATCCTAAAAACCGTAATTTAATTTAATTTATTAAATTTTTTATTAAATTTGTCTGAAAAAAAATTAAATTGAGAATAATACAGTAGCTAGTTAATAAAATATAAAGTTTCCCAACAAATATCTATCATAGTAAGGTTTTAATGAAATTTAAACTTATTGTAAGATATTCAAATAAGTTTAGTAATTTTCAATAATAGTGCTTCAGATTGAAGAGAAAGTTTCCAATTAATTTTTCAACTCTTTGAATATCAAAAGAGTCCTTTGGCTTTTGGCGAAGTTAAATTAAGTAAACAAAAGACATGCACCCCTAACTCACTATTTCCAATATTCTATTAACAACACCTACAGGTAAATTTCTAAGAAATTAATTAAAATTCTAAGAAATCTATTGTTAACTGACACGCCGGCGTGTCCGGGGTCGTGGAGGGATTAACCGACAAGAATAATTTGAAGTACACATCTATAGATATAAAAATCCCGGTAGCCGGTAGCCGGTAGCCGATAGCCGGAATCGGCTAGGAGAACATCATCATCATCATTATTATTATATAAAATAAAGTCCTTTTTGTGGATTTTGGTCATGTTGGCCTATTTCACTGAAACTAGCTATCAAGTGAGTATGCGCAAACTCAACATGTACTATTAAATTCGTGCTGGTCGATGATTCAACACGATTGGTCAGATGCAGGACTGACGGATTGATATATTCTGCCTTTGGTGTTTAACATCGACAATTTCGTAATTACGGAATTTTTTGACCGAAAACTCAAACTACCTTTTACCCGATTCGAGACTCGAACTTAAAACCTTTGGATCTGTAGCTCCTAGACCAGTGAAATTATCATAATAATTATTATCATAAATATCATTGTTTTTATACTGGCGAGGATGACTATACGATACTTTCCGAGAAGTCATTAGAGGACGCTATTTACAATTTTATTCTTTACTAGCATTGCTCGCGGCTCCGGCCGCGTTCAAATGAGAAAAACCTAATTCTTAGGTTTTAGATATTTTTCTCAGAAATGAGATATTTTTCCGCGGTAAAAGTATCCTATATGTTGACCCGGATAACCAGCTATCACCATACCAAATTTCATCAAAATCCCTCCAGTGGTTTTTCCGTGATGCGGTAACAGACAGACAGACAGATAGAAAGACAGACAGACAAAAATTGTAAAAACTATAGATTCGGCCTCTGTATCCATAATAATGTCGATTTCAATAAGATTTACCAAAAACTATTTGATGTACAGATTCGACTTAGTTACAGTTTTTTATATGTATAGATTTGCACATTATATTTATTTCCAATATTTGCTTATGTGAATGCAACTAACAAGAACAAATTTGATTTCATCGTGTCTCCAGAGTTTGCATCTAGCTGTTCTGTTGATTCTATAACAAGTTCAGGAACTAAGCACTTAATAGCTTGGGCAGTGACTTCGTTGTCAGTTTACGTCTAAGTTTAGACTAATTGACTTCTACATGGAGGTAGCAAAATTACGTCATGGAATTTGAAGTCCGGTAAATTATGTTAGGTTTTAATTGGTATTTAGTGTTGAAAGAGAGAGGGTTTATATTTTTTTTATATTTCATTAAAATTTATGTTTTAAAAACTATTTTGTATTGAGAAATATCAATACAATATAATCTTTCTGTGTGTCTGTCTGTCTGTCTGTCTGTCTGTCTGTCTGTCTGTCTGTCTGTCTGTCTGACTGTTACCGCATCACGAGAAAACCACTGGACAGATTTTGATGAAATTTGGTAAGATGATAGCTGATTATCCGGGTCAACATATAGAATGCTTTTTACCGCGGGAAAATATCTCATTTCTGAGAAAAAATACAAAAACTGCATTGTAATAGTATACTAATATGTAAAACCTAAAAATTTGGTTTTTAGTCATCTGAACGCGGGCGGAGCCGCGACAATGCTAGTATAATATAATAGTGTGTTATATATGTAATAGGATCATAAAATATATTGTATTTTCATGATACTGCTTTCCTTAGCTTTACTTGTAATTTATTATGTAATTAAATCTAAAAAGTTGATTTCAACCTGCTTCTAATTGTTGTATCGATTTAAAGTTTTGCTAGTGTAAGCCAGGTACAGTAATGTGTCTCAATAGAGTTGATACGAGCCAGTAGGTCTATATATGAGTTTTTCAATGTCTACTTGTAAAACCTTCGAGTTTAGGTTATATTGATTTACTTTGACAAGTATTATGATATCCGACCGATGGCCACGACGACGGCCAATCTCACTGATACTAGCCTGCAGGAGATATTATAGTGCACAAGTGTACGCGCAGACACAAGTGCACTCTCTATTCCGGTCACTCTCATACTCCGATGGGATGACATTTCGACACGACCGGTTAGAGAGATCAGGCGCAAGACCAACAGTTTTACAAAACACCATTAATTCCCAAATCCGCGCTACTTCTGAGATTTTCTAAACAAAAAGACTCAATAACTAAACAAGGCTTTAAAATCGATGAACATTTCGTGTTACATCTTAGTCAGGGTATATACTCATCTCAATGATATGCGCTCCAATATACTTTACACACGTATTACGACTGAACGTAAAAAATATTTTTTCTGTTTATATCAAAGTTGTGACTTAATAAAATGTAGTAAGAAGAATAAAAAAGCTACGGACTTTTTGGAGAAAGAATAAGCTTTTAAAAATGTGTATTTATATAATTTATTAAGCTATTTTACTATATTTTAAAATTTATACCAATAGAATTGACATTTAAAAGTTATTCAATTTTAAAATTAATAGTTTAGATAAATATATATATATATATATATATATTATATATTATATATATATATATATATATATACATATAAAACTTACTATATATATATAGAGTACCTACTAGTATAGACGTATATTTTAGCCAATTACATAATACATTACTCATAACTATACCTAATTCAATAAAATCATTATCTTTCTCTAAAGGAATGAATGTTTTAATTAAGCGCGAGTACATTTAACTAGTTCAAACCAAACTTAGAATGAAGAAGAAGTAGTAAAAACTTGATAAAACAGCGAAAACAACATTTCTACGAAGCTTGTTAGCGTTGTTCAGATGGTACTTAAAATTTAGATCTTTTTGGTAATTAAATGTTGGCAATAGTTATTATTTGATTAAAAAACTTTTAAGTAAATTTACGGTATAACGATTTTAATCAACTTAATTAAGCATATAATAATATGTTTTTAACCGACTTCCAAAAAGGAGGGGGTTCTCAATTCGTCGGAATCTTTTTTTTATGTACACATGTTCACCGATTACTCGAAGACGCCTGAACCGATTTGGAATATTTTTTTTGTTTCAAAGGGTAAGATAAGAGTAAGGTTTAAGCCTACAATATTTTAGGATGTAAATATCTAATAAGTAAATATGTATTTTACGTAACGAAATATATTAGATTCGCTTTGCATCGGCTGGTACCGACTTCGAAAATATCTGATTAGGTATCTATTATAAATTAAAACCTCCGTTTAGATATTTTTTACATTTTAGTGCCTGGAAGTCGGCTTTTTTTAAGTTTTTATTATATAATAATAATATCTTAATAAAGCATTTCCATGATGAGCATTCGAAACGTTGGATATCAAAAATCTATGTAAAACTGTGGAAAATCCTTAAAACTGTCATTTCGCCAAAAATTTAAAAATTCTTAAAACAATTTCATTTCAATATCAAATATTCGCGTAAACCTAAAAAGTTCTATATTTATTAGCTTTTTTTTTAATTTACCAAAAAAGATAATCGAACTTACGACCAAAAGGAATACCAAGATTGATATCAAGATAGATACTATTCTAAATTATTTTTTCTAGCAAAACCGGACAGTTTAGAATAATAGCAACTAAAAAGGTTGACTCTCATTAAAACACACATATTACGAAATCGCTTACGCCACGTATGTACAATAACGTAATATACTTCTACAAGTTCCAAGATCTTAAGGAATTAGCCTGAAGTTTGTTTCAACGCGGGCTGTTCTGGCGTTCTTGGGAATAGTTTAAGCGACAAAATTGAGTTTTATAGTAAGTTTGTGATTATTCTATTTCTTAGTTTGGAGTTTACACATTTTAATTTGGTTAGGATGGCTTCACAAAATGAAATGCCTGGGTTTTGCTTTACTCGTGGCTTGGATGTGAGTTAATGTTTTTTGATAAAGTTCTTTGTTATTTCATGTTAGAATAGAAATCAAAAATAACAATAAGACATTTTTCTTAAAAATGAAACGGAATAGACTTTATTCAATTAGACTTATTACAAGCACTTTTGAGTCTGTCTGTCTGCCTGTCTGTGACTGCGTCACAAGAAAACCACTGGACAGATTTTGATGAAATTTGTTATGATAATAGCAGGTTATCTGGGTCAACATATAGGAACTTTTTACTTAGGGAAAATATGTTATGTCTGAGAATCTATACTAAAC